AAAAAAAAAATTTGTCCCGACGACCTATCTTTTATACGCAAATGGCTGCCGTATTCAAAAATATGCTATTTTTGTATTCAAATTATGGGTTTTGTATTTTATTTTAATAGAAGTTGATGTTAATTTTGCAATTATCCATCAATTTTTTAAAATTAAACACTATCTACAGATTTGCATCGAAGCGTTTCTTATGATAGTGATTTTAATCACTGTCAGATTAAATCTATCTGGACCCAACTATGCAATGTCTCCACTATGCCGCGACCCCACTGTGCTACCGTTTTTTTTATTAACTTTGTGTCCGTTTTCAAAAAACAAAATAAAATCCGAAATTTTTTTTTCCATAAAAAGGTATATTACATAAACTTTAATTTATGATATATATATATAAGTATCAGTATTTCTGGAACACTTTCAAAAATTAATTTGAAAAAGTTCTATTTGCAATTTTTAGTTTTGAACCCTTTGTATATAGGGAATTAGTCCGATTTAAGTTGTAGCATTATAAAGTTAAAGATGTAAAATATAAAATCGAGAATTTTCACACAGAAATAGCATTTGGTAGCCATTTTCACAGTGATGACAAAATAAAGTCCGAAATTTTTTTTTTTCATAATAAAGAACATTACATTAGTTTTAATTTAAGATATACAGAGTGATCAAAATCTGGTAAGACATTCATTTTCTCAGAAACTATTGAGAATTATAAATTCTTTTAAAGAGAAAAAATATCAAGTATAAAAATCTCTACATTAATATGTAGTCAAATCATTATTTTTTTGTCTCTTCAGTGATAAAAACCCTTATTTATAATTTTCTAAAATGGGAACTCTTATTTTTAATATGATAGAAAAAAAAATTACAAGCAACTTTGTTCGAAGGTTTTTTTTTCCGATTAACCGTTTGTCCGTTAGAGCTTGTTAACAAGCTCTAATTAATTTTAAAATTAAGTGATTGTAAGCCAAGTTTCTATTGTTATTTTACTGTATTAAATAGAGTCATTTTGAATTCTCCCCTGTGGGCAGGTAAAGGATCAGATTTATAAAAAAATTATACCAAATGATAAGTAAAGACATCATGTATCTATAAAAAAAAAATTATATTGATTTGGTAATTTTTAAAAAAGTTATGGCAGTTTTAAGTAAAAAAAAATTGAAAAAATGTCAACAATTAGCAATTTTTAAATTTGTAATTTTTTTTGGAGATTTCTCTCATTTACGGGGAACGAGGGAATTTTTTCAATTTTTGAGGATAATGTCTTCGACTAGATACGATTTGTGATCTTTTGACGTATCGTTGAAAGAAATTGGTTTGGTGTGAGCTGAGAAAAAGTGGTAAGACACAAAAAAAAAACACACATCATAGTAAAATTAATACCTTTTCAGCTAAAATATGTTTCTGGAATACGTTTTTTTTTGTATTTGTATTTTATATTTTAATACATTAAATTCCGTTTACTATTAACCCACCAGATATCTGGCCAATTAAACTAAGTTATAAAATTATTTATTTTTTTAATATTATAATTCATTTCATAGTAATACCAGTTCACCTTAGTGTACTTAATGGTGTAAACAAATCAAACTACTAAGGGAAGTGAAAATGACTTGTACGAAGATGATGATTTTGCGTAGACCTTCACGTACGTGTGGTCCTACAGCAGGTACCAGCTGACACTTCTGATTGGGTGTGAGTGTCGAAAGCCGGTGTTATAGGAAGGGAATAAGAATAATATCTAGGTAATAGGTGCAAGATACAAATATTTTGGGTATGGGAAGGGATGAAGAACAAGGGGTAGCCGAGTATGAAGTGCAGTCGAAGTGCAAGACACAAGTGAAATGTAGAGAACAAAGTAGGTAAGTGAAAAGGGAAGAACAAAGACTTTACATTATATAGTAAGCCAGACAGCGACAACCGAGTACTGAGATTAACGAGTACTGACACTAAGCATAAAACTACGCACTTGAGTCGACTGGCCACGATGGCTAGGTCCATTGGGCTTAAATAGTATTTAGGATAATTGCTAATTTTTTTTTTATTATCAAATCATCAATTGCTAGTATCGCATCCGGTACTAGCCATTAATTTTATTTCATAATTTTTTACAATAATGATAATGAGATACCACAAGACTAGTATCCAACATCCGAAGACGAATAAAAATTGAAAAAAAAAATTTATCAGTATTAGACGAATATTTTTTTTGAAAATGCCTATATGTCAATTATGTTACTTAATTGTTAAAAATTAAATATTCACAAATATATTGTACTTTTAATGTTGTCTTTTATTTTTTTGACATAAAATATATTTATACGACATAATTGTTTTAGTTTCTTTTTTCTTATTTTATAAATAACCTAGTCCTTTAATTAAATTTATCTAGCGTAGAACTGTCCTGAGCAGAATGGTTATGACACTAGTATAATATATAAACTCAATTATTATAAATATTATTAAGTGTATTTATGAAATTTTTACTTTATATTAAATTTTTTTTTAAATATTCTCAGTGTATAAATCATTATTTAAGTATTCAAAATTATATATTTTTTAAGGCTGGATAGGCGTTTAAATGCCCATATGACGAAAACAATTATGTTATAAAAATGTAATGTAGAGGGAGTAATAAATCTATTTTCTATTCTTTCTATAAAATAATCTTGAGCGTACAATTAAAAAGAATTATAACATTAGAAAAATTCTAATTTATGTTTATAAAAATTAATTAACTGAAATCAAGGATAACTTAAAATGTTATTTCCGGTTAAAACCTTAACCCTCGAAATAATTTTAGTTATAATTAGCAGTTCAACTAATTTTGAAAGATGAGGGTTTATCTGTAATTAGTTTTAAGCGCTAGTTCAAATCTATCAGCTGATTTATTATTTCAAATTAGTGGCCAGATCATAGTAAAATAGATAAGTATGCTGGAACATAGTCCGCGTTTTCGTCGTAGTACGCGCATGTGTATCGCCTTGTTTTTGAGTATTCGTATACGATTGGTGAAACACAACTACTGTCAAATGCACTTAAATAAACGCGCGTTTTTCGAATTGATAATTCTAATATGATATCAATAATAGATATAATTTTTAAGTAATATTTATATTAATATAATGAATTAATGATAATGCTTTGTAAAATTATTTATAGTATTTGCAGCAAGTAGTTGAAAAGAGTTTGTTATCGAACAATGTATGAATTACATAGTATACTATTTAATTTTTTAGAGTCCTGCTAATAATGAACATAATCAGATTTATTTAAGGAGGATAGCTTTATTTATTAATGGGTGTATATAGCATTTAGATTTGAACACAAATAACCGAATTTTGTGAATTATTTGAATAAAATTAAAGATTTGATAGAAGATAAACAATTTGGGCAATAACAACCATTTCATACATTAATAAATTAAGGAAAAATCGTTAAAAATTAAATGGAAATGGTACTTATAGTAACACAATTAATATAAAATATTTTATAAATACTTATGACTATATGATATTAGAAAAACTCGGGGCTTGATGAAGGAGGTACTTGAATTAACAAAAAATAATGTTCTTCGGATGCTTTTTTGGTGGATAATGAAGTTCTAAACTGTATTATTAGACCAAGAATATATTTTAGAATTCTAACTGTAAACAATAAAACCACAAAAAAAGGTGCAATAAAAAAAAAAGTACAAAATTTAGGGAATTATCATTAAAACTACAATACAATCTACCATGTGGTTTTATAAATACTGTAATAATTTGTACTTACTGTAATTAATTACACAAAAAATTGATATTTAACTAGTTATGTGTATTTAAATTTTTACTCTGGTTAGATTTATCAACGAGTTGAATCTTAGTTGATAAACTACTACAGTGTAGCAGATAATATAATAAAAAGATGTATTAAAACACAGTTAATATTAATAAAAGTAAGAAATAATTGAAATTTAAAGGGGAATTTAATTTAAAAAGTTTATTTAAATATGTGGCTAAATCGGGACGGTATCCCTTAGTATCGAATATAATCAACGCAACGTATATACATGTGATGTCACGTTAGGTTTATTGTTGGTTGCATATTTTGCCCCTTGGTTGATCATGCGCACTAATTTTATCGAGCATACTTCTTAATAATTTTACCTAGGGCCAGATAACAAATGAGAGGAAACATTTGTTTTTATGATTTTAGTCGAAGTAGATTTATTCAATTTGATTTTATATTAATATTTCATATCATTTTCTGATAATAATTTCTTAACAGTTCCTAAAATGGTTAAAACTAAGTAGTTATTTTACATAAGTTTTTTGAATATCTAAAATTTAAATACAAATTAAAATTTTTATATACTGTGGAAATAAATTTTTGTCATGTCGAAAGATAAGTGCCAAGAAGGGAGGGAATGTATGGAAAAAGCCAATAAATTGTAAGCTTAAGTAAACAACTATTTATTCAATTATCTCTCTAATAATTAATAAATTAAGAGTATTTATTCTTCTATTATAAAATATATTTTATTTAGCCTTAAAACGTCTTTATTAAAATGGGTACCAGATTATGACAGTGCAGCTGATGAATTTTCCAAAGCAGGTATACTATAAAAGCTTGTTATACATTTATAAATTGTAATACTGTTTTATCATAATTATTGCCAAAAATTAAGATTTATTCTAGTTAAGAATAATCAACTTACTAAGATATATACTAATAATAAATAAAATAACAACCCTAGTTGTGCTTTGAAGGTCAGATAGTTTTATAAAAGTTAGATAAAAATAGTGATTCAAGAAATATTAATTTTTATTATTTATCTAATAAGACAAATATTTTAATTAATCAATATTTTCAATTTAAGTTGGGAGAATTCAGCAAAAACCTATTATAATTTGAATTATATTAAATAAATAAACGTTTTAAATTATTTAATTTTTGTTTATTAATTCACTAAATATGTTATAATGAAAACATTAAATTTGAAAATATTTCAGCAAAAACAAAAATGTTTGCTAATTATTAAAGTCATTTTATAAAAATTGTTTAATAAAAATAAAAAAAGTCACCATTGCAAATAATATTGTTAATTTATTATTGAAAAATTAAAAAAAAACAAGTAAATAGAGAATTTTTTTATTCTCGAAAAATAATTATTATTTTAAATAAATTAAATTTGACGTTTTTATAAATTCTTAAAAGTCATGAAATTTTAACTAAATTGTTTTTCAGCTGTATGTTTTCGTGTTGGAAAGTCTTTTAAAGAGAGTAAGGAATGTTTGCTTAAAGCATCACAAAACTACTTACAAAATGGATCACTTTTTCATGCTGCCAAGTATTTAACTTTACATTAAATAATAATTTTTACTATTTTTTAGCTTTCTGATTTTTACTTATATGTTGAAGTAAGTTTTTTTTTTGCTTAATAGCTATGATGACATTAAATTTTATGACGCGATAATTTTAAAAAATATAATGATTAATTATGTCATGGCGGTGTTAAAATATATTATTTAATGTATTATACTAAGACTATGACATAGATAAGCATACTATGATGGACTATAATTATTTATAATATACTCGTATGTATTTAGATCTTTAGAACAGGCAGTAACTTTATCCAAGGAGATTGGAGACCTTAGGGATGTTCCAGACTTGGCAATGAAAGCAAGTTATTATTATCAGCAACATGGATCTTCTGGTAGTGCTTCTATGTTATTAAGTAAAGCTGCAGACATGATACAGCAAACAGATCTAGAATCTTCTGTTAAATTACTAAAAGAGGCCTCTAATGTTGCTTCAGTAAGTTATCCATAATTTGGTTGAAGTTAATGTATTATAACTTCTCTATTTTAATCTAATAATTTTTTTTTTACAAAATAAGCCTTTAAAATAGTCATTGGCTTCTGAATTTAATTGTTTTGAATTAAACTTATAATTATTTACCATTTTTATCATAAATGCTTTTTTAAATGAATAGAATGAAGATTCAATAGGACAAGCAATGGAATATACTCATAAGGCTGCAAGATTATTGGTTAAATTACAAAAGTATTATTTTATTTGAATAGATTTCTTGATTTTTTCATTAATCACAATCATTTTTAGGTATGATGAAGCTGAAGAAGAATTAAAACGCCAAATTGGTTATACTTTTGAAGGTGGATCTGTATCTAATATGGGTAGAGTTGCTGTTGAACTATTTTTGTTGCAGTTAGCAAAAGATGATATTGTAGCTGCTAAAAAAGTATTTAATGAGTATGGATCAAGATATTGTGAACAAGCTGAGGTAATTGTGACAATTCTTGATATGCTTTAATATAAGTTTATATAACACTGGGAAGCTAGTGTAATATAGTGAATACCTCATTTATGACTTTTAATTGAGGTTAAGCCACACTAGTTACTGCTAAACCTTGGATGGATGACTATTTAAAAATGTTAACAACAACCATACTACACTTCCTAAGTGTGACATAAGTGACAAACTTTGAAAAAGAGACACCTAAATTGTGGCATAAAAATCCACTACCAGTCAATAATACCATACAATAATAATAATAATGATGATGTGAGTTCATAAAAATTGTAGAGATATTTATTAAATTTTTAGATTTGTATGCTTGATGACATAATAAATGCATATTCAGACAGAGATGCTGAAAAAATAAACTCTACATTAAACAACTCATTTATAAAGTATATGGACATAGAATTCGCAGTTTTAGCAAAAAGTTTAGCAGAAAAATGGATTATTGATTCAGTATTTATACATTTTATTTTTTTAATCGTAAAAGTTCAATAAAATAATTTAAAAAAATTAACAATAACAATATTTTATATAGAACCTTACCTCTCAAACTTTGGAGTATGTTGATGATTCAGAAGGTACACAAAAACCACAAATAGATTTTGGCGGAGGGCTTTGTTGAAGTTATAATATATTATAATTGTGTTTTATTATAGTAGTCTATTACAAAAAACATAAAAAATTACATTTCATTTATAAATAATATTGTTGAGAAACACTTTTATAATCAAGTTATGTAAACTGTTTGTTATAATGAATTGTTATTTCATAAATATACAATTTATTGTAATGCAAAAAAAAATTATTCATTCCAAATACTTATGTTGAAAAAAATTTCTTCTATATTTTATATTATTTTTGTTAAATATTTTAAGTCATATTTTACTTAGATGTGTATTCAAAATCTTATAATTGCCATAATTATTTTTTTTTTTATTATTAGACTTGTACTTATACATCTTCTATAAATTTAATTTAATTTTTGTATTTAAAAGTATATAATTATTGGAATATTTACACTTATATCTGTAATTAAGACATGGCTTTAATTCATTCATAATAGTATATATTTTTAATTATTAAGTATGTTATTAAAACATTTTATTGATACAAAGTATAATCGTTTAATATTTCTAGTTTATTTAGTGTACATATGTAATTCTGTTAAATAATTGTTAGATCTTGATTTGTTAATGCACTTAATGTATTTAAATGTTTGAATTAGCAATTAAATTTGTTAAAAACTCATTTAAAAGTATGGTGTAGTCAAACTATACAAATGTAGAATATTAATTTGGAGCGTAAACCTCAAAATATTTTGGTAAATTATATTTATTATTAAAATATATTTAGGGCAGAAAAAATATTGATCAATCTAGTCCCCCAAATATTTAAATTTATCCTACTTAACTAATCTATTATGTATATTTAGCTGCCTCAGATAAAAATCAATAGACAAAGTAATAAATATTCTAATTATATATTTCAATTTAAAGTATGTGTTAGTAAATACAATAACTTTTTTTAAAAATATATCTCATTGTTATTAAACAGTATAATATAAAAAAAATAATAATATTCTCTGTTAAATAATTTGTAGTTTTGATATAAAACTAAAAAGGAATTAATTTTACTATGATGTATTTTTTTTGTGTCTATTACCACTCAATATTCAACTCTCACCGAACCGATTTCTTTCAACGATACGTCAAAAGATCATAAATCGTATATAGTCGTAGGAGGGAAATCTCCAAAAAAATTACAAATTTAAAAATCTCTTATTGTTGACATTTTTTCAATTTTTTTTACTTTAAACTGCCATAATTTTTTTAAAATCTGACACTACATGCCCACAGGGGGGATTTAAAATGACAACTTTTTCACATAAAATTAACTTTTGAAAGTGTTCCGAAAAGTTGACACTTTTATATATATATATATATATATATATATATATTAAATTATATTCAATATAATTAAAAAATTATAATGATTTGGTCATTTTTAAAAAAAATATAGCAGTTTTAAGTAAAAAATTTTTTGAAAATTAGCGATTTTTATTTTGTAATTTTTATAAAGATTTCCACCATTTACGGGGATTGAGGGAAATTTTTTCATTTTTTGAGGATAATGTTTTCGAATATTTACGATTTGTGATCTTTTGATGTATCGTTGAAAGAAATCTGTTCGGTGAGAACTGAGAAAAAGTGATAAGACAAAAAAAAAAACAGTAAAATTTATACCTTCTCAGCTTCGCATCGAAGCTAAAATTAAGAAAATTAAAACAAAAAAAGAACATATATTTTTAGTTTATAATTAATATTTAACAAATAGTCGAACACTTGTTAAGTTTAAAATTATTACATTATTTTTTTTTAATAAAAATAACCTAAATTAAAAATGGTTTTAAAGAAATGTCAATTATTAATAAAATATATAGAACTTATAATACACTTTTAAAATTAAATTACCATAACTTCATTATATGTTTCAATCATATAATCCACAAATTTACCCAATTTCTATGTAAGAAGTCATAACGAGTGAATAATTATTTTAATTACTACAAATCAAGGTAAAATGAAATATTATTTCTATCAAAAATACATATTATAATTTTTTTGTATATTATTAAAATATTTAATATAAGTTTAAAAAAAAAAAAAATTACGTATAATTATATAGTACTATTATAAATATTTATACGATATTTACGGAATTTCTGTACCAGAAGTCATAACGAGTGAATAATTATTTTAATTACTACAAATATAGGTAAAATGAATTATTATAGAAATATACACATTATTTTATTGAATATAATAATTTCAAATGCAATTATTGTTCATGAGACTAATGAATTATTTACGAATATTGAAAATCAAACTTTTGTAACCAATGACGATTTAGATAAACTCATAAAAGCATATCCAGCATTCCTTCAACTAACTTTACAAGAAAATAAATACTACATTGGTTGTGATGCATCTCTTTGTCCTCTACCTTATGATGAAAACACAGTATTGGATGATCCTGAAGTTGAGAAATTAGAATTTTTCGACCCCAGAGAATGTGAAAAACCGTGGTCTTGGACGCAACAAAATCAAATTATTGTACCTATTCCAAAAAAATGTTCTATTAACAAAAGGTTAGGAGAATTAATTCGTCGAGATTACAATTTAGAAATTATTCAGAAGTATACTTATTACCTGAACACTGAATAATGTAAATATTAGAAAGGGAGCTGAAATTTTTAAAGTGACAAAAAATTTTGCATTCATTAATATAAAAATTCTTGAATTAATAATTATAATTGTTTAATTATTTTTTATGATAATAATATTAAATATTTCATTAAACTCTTATATTTTTGTTTATAACATTTTTATTTTGTTGATTCATATTTTAATATTTATTATTATTAAATGCTATATCTTAATTTAAAAACATTTTTACTATAAAAATAACAGAAAAACGATTTTCAATTTTAAAAGCATGTGGTTAATTTAAATCAAGAAAAATTTATAAAATTGATTTCCTAACAACTTTTATAGTTATTAATTTAATAGTTATTAACATTTTTATACCCGGGTGGGAGGAGAAGTGAGGCCAAGAAATGTCTAGTGATAAAAATAGCAGCACCTACCCTGATCTCAGTCATTACTTTAAACTGTTAATATCTTCTGAAATACTGTTTCAAAAGTTTCTCTCGTCTAGTTATTTTCTTAATTAGATCATTTTCTATTTTATAGGCCATTTAAATATGTGTGCTTTTATTTAAAAAAATAAAGCTGACACTACTGTTAAGATGTAAGTGTTGAATATAAAAATATTTTATAATGGATAAATGAAGAAATAAATGAAATTAACAAAAGCCAAAGAATAAAAATTCACAAAAAAATAATTATTTAAAGAAAAATGTTGTATATTATTACTAAATAATAAACAGTTTACTGTGTATTCATTCAGAAGTAGACCCATAACAATTGTTGGTGAAATTGCCAATTAATTATTTGTCATATAAAATAATACTTTAGGTAGTCTATGTTGCAGTTTCTTCCCCTTCATGACACGGTTAGCAAGTGGGTAATATTTCCAAAGCGGCGATAGGAGGGAATCGTCTGCAATGAGATGCGCGTTAATACAATAAAGAGCAGAGTCGGTTTAATGCGTCTCCAACACAATACGTCAACGTTTTCATCTCCTTCTCAGACTACCGAAAACCACAAATTAAACAAAAATAATAATAATGTAAATAATGTAGAAAGCCCACGTGCACAGTTTTGCGTAACGCGGTCACGTGGCCTGTTTACGACGCGGTTGTCACTCAAACTGCACCGTTCAGAAAGATTACCGGACTTGTCACGTGCCGTCGCTTCTACCGCCTTGCAGATGGCAAAATCTATACGGTTGATGCATTTCGATATCACCTCCTCCGAAAAGCCTGTCACTGCCAACAATATCAACGTTCTGTAAAATACGTGTAAATTAACAAGGAGATACACTAATATGGAATTAACAGAGTATGGCAAATACAAAATGCCGGAAACATTGAGGTATTAGAAATAAATTCTTGTACTTTTACGCTAGTATCTACGTAGAAAAACATTACATTATATGAAGTGGCTAGATTTTGACTGAAAAAAATTGTTATGATAATACATTGAGTTTGTTAAGCCAATTGCATCGTTGAGCTAAACTGACCAACTCTTTTAGTGAGTGTTGGTCACACGCTTCCAGTCAATTTTTGTTTGTAATCCGATTAATGGAACCTGACCAGCCATGGAAATGTGTATTTAAATGCGCATGCCACTATCATAGGGCTTATTATTATTATGTATGTGGGGAAAAATGAAAAAAAAACATGATGTATAATATTATAATGTGTCGGTATTGATTTAGGGGATTTAATTTCTCGATTCGGTAACCGTGACAAGACGCCATCGTATGACTTTGACAGTGATACCGTCAAGAGGAAATACATTCGTCACGACTATTGAAATACGATTTGCATTAGGTGCATTATCACAGCGAAAACAATATTTGGGATTAAGTCCGCCATACAGAATTTGCTAAAACATTGCGTGCGACAGGCGCCCTTTCATCAGCTGATCTCACAATCAAATTACATAAACAATCTGGTAAAATTTGCATAATTCATAAAAGTTATATGATATTATGTATTTTGATGTTTACAGTAAACATTTTCATTTCACATAAACGTTGTTCAAGACAACATCAATAAAAGTAGAGCAAAACAAACAAACGATTGTACAAAATAAATCTTACCGAAAATTCTACAAAAATGTCAAAATGTTATGTATAAAATTATTGATAGCATTGTTTTGCAACTATCTAAAATAATATTTAAATATAGGACAGGTGAAGCATAGCTTATGATTATTTTTGTCATTAGTCATTTAGCCTATGACTTATAAAACATTGTAACGCAGCATTTAGTTGTTTGGTGACAATAATAAAGGTCGAAATAAAAATTATTGTTGACCAAAGTTTTGTTTTACATAATAACCATTTCTGTTGTTAGTAGTCCAGATGAAAAATATTCAAAAAACTAATTTGGATTTTCATTATTTGTAATACTTTTAAAATAAAGTATTTCATTCCAGTCTATCTTTTATTTCTTATAGTTTTTTTAACATCTAAAATTAATGAAAATTTAATAAATAATATTATTAGTAATTGCAAATTTAAAATAGAAACAAAAGTTATATTTTATTATTCTTAGCAGTTAAAAGAAATTTTAATCTTGAATGTGTATTATTAAATTTGTATATTACTTTTTGTTTATAACAGTAAACATGTCTTTGAAGGATTATTCTATATAAGGAGAATGATCAAACATTTGAGTTATAAAAGATTACCCATCGGTGTTGTATCGATTCGCTCAATGACAAAGTTTAACAATTATCTATATATCAAACATCCAGAATTCATCCCTCCTAATTATGCTGTTGAGGATAGATCTTTTAAAGTTGGAGAGATACTTGATGATTTGGATAAAATTCTACTGATTGAAGACCTTATTAGAAGTCATGATTGCCATGGTTGTCAGAAAATGGCCATATTCCGTCTATGAAGTTATTTAAAGACTTTTAATTAAACCGGAATCGTGTGAAATACTTTTAACACCCAAATTCAGTAACCATATAAATTTTGCTACATACTTTACAAATATAATATTCAACATCTATGGCTGGTTGAATATGGACATTTAATTTGTTTTATGTATCAAATCGACTCTAATATAAAAGTTTTTGATGGCATAAAAAATCAATAATATTTGGATTTTTTTTTTGGTTGATTAATGTATGATGTCAGTTCGAAATTAAAGTGACATGGAGCATACTGTGTACTATAAATAGTACTTTACCTGTGAATTGTCGAAAAAACAGCGTCATGGTTTTTATACTAATTGAAAAATAAAGTTTAATAAGCGAATAAAACACTCATTTATTTATTTTTTCGAAAAAACAAAAAACGTTTATTGTCTGTATTTTTCAATAATTCGTTTACATACTAAATAATAAAGAAGGTATTAAGTTTTTCATTTCATTAATTTTATTTTAAGAATTTTTACGGAATTGTTCAATGAATTAATTAATTATTTACAAATAAAATATTGTAAACTAAAGTGAAGTAAAATAAATATATAAGGCTATCCAATGCAATTAAGACCATGTTAGTTATGAAGGTTTTTACGTTTTANATAAATATATAAGGCTATCCAATGCAATTAAGACCATGTTAGTTATGAAGGTTTTTACGTTTTAAATTGTTTATTTATGTTTTAAACAAATATAATAAGTATTCTGTATTTTAAAAAACTACGACGCACTTAAGAATGTTTTTTTTATTTCTTATGTTATTCTAAGATTGACTTACTGTTTAAAAATTGAAAAACAGTTGCTTGTAAACACATATAAACTTAAGTTAAATAATAAGTTATTATTATTATATAAATTAAATGACGTTAAAAATAATAAGTAATAATTTTTCATTTTAGTAAAGCAATACATTATATATTTATTATTATAGCAAAATATAATTGATATTATTATAAAGTCAGAAGATGATTAAATTTATATTTTATTTTGCTAGTGTTTTGTTGAGTTTAATTGGTACAGTATGGTTTCCTTTATTAATTTTATTATGTGCGTTGCTAGTCTTATATTGGAAATATTTACACTAAACAGTGTTAATAAATATTATTTTTAATGATAATTAAAAAAAGAAAGTGTGTTGTATACGATTTTGTTGGTATTAAAATTATACCACATATTTAACAGATAATGACTACTTAATATATAAACTTATGATTTATTAAAAGATTTTATATCATTTACTGAAAGTTCTGATTTTCAGTCACATTAGTACAAATACAACAATTTTTTATGCTATTAATTGAAATAATTAATTACAATCTATAAATACTCATTTTTTAATATTTCATTAAGCTTCTTTTAAAGAAAATTAATTATTCCAATCCAATTTAAGACATAGTTAAGACACGAAAACTTTTTAAAAAACTGCGACATAAAAATTAATATTATAATAATAAAATATTTTACATAAAAGTTTAATAAAAAACTTAATTTAAATAAGTTGTTTGATTTATTTAGACCTATAGCTATTTTTAAATAATTTAATTATACAATAAATTCAATTTTTTACAGGACAATCACAAATCAAAGGATGCTTTCATTTTAAAAGCTTTAAAAAAATTAAACCTATATGTAAATAATAAAAAAATATATTCAGTTATACTTTTTTTTTCTAAAGCTTCGGTTATTTTAACCATTAGATATTAATAAAATCACTATATTACAGTTAAACATAATGTTTAGATACACTTATTTATGTCTGATCGCGTGATAAAATTAATGACTCCCTTGTAGTGTCTGCATTTAATTTTCCATGAACGCAATGGAAGTTCGTATTGGTCTTATGTGTCTTCATATTTTCTACAATCTGTGAATATGTGTTTTACTGTTAAAAATGTTTCACAGCATTGGTATATTGTTTTATTTTCCTTTTTTATTAAGTATGGGTGTTCATTGTATGATCAAGTCTAAATCTATTAATTATAACTTCATTTTTCCGGCTAAAGTTTTTATTTTTTAATATTATTCTTTATTTTATTGAATTTTGTGTAGGAATACTGCTATAAATTATCTATATTTTCATGTATTATCTTTTTTTATATCAGAATATAGTAAATCAGTGATTTAATTTTGATGGTTATCAATAATTATTTGTTTAGCAGCTTTGTTTGTTAATTCGTTTCTGCGTATTCTTTACCCATATTAAAGTTTATGTTTCATGTTTTTTGAACAGACAGGCATTTTAAAAATAATAATGTTTAAAAACATTCATGTTTGAAATTAACCATATGCTTTTGAATTGACAATCGTTTTTGTTTTATTTTTATAGTAAAAATGTTTTTAAATTATGATATAGTATTTAATATTAATAAATATTTAAATATGAATCAACAAAATATGTTTAATTAATAGATAACATAATATATTTAGTTATAATAATATATATATATATTAGTTACTAATATAATATATTAGATCAATGTAATATTTAATATAATTTTCAAAAAAATAAATATATAATTATGATTATTTATCCATAACTTTTTTATTTATTGTTATAAAATAATCCGTCACATTAAAAAGTTCAGCTCCCTTTCTAACATTGACATGTTGTAATTTTATTAATTCGTCAATTTTAAGTGTTGCCCTTAGGGTGAAATCATCCCACAAGTTATCATTTACAAGAATAGTATAGTTTCTTTTTAAATTTGTTAGTCTCATGCATTCTAATAATTGTGCTCTGTGTTGGTTTTTATTTTCCTCTTTAATTAATAAATCAAACCATTTTTTATATTCATTATTTAAAGTAATCTTCTGCAAAATATTCAATATACAGTCAAGGGGTAATGTAGATATGAAGTATTGCTTAAATGTATCATAAATATTTTTAAATAGCTTTTTAAAGTTATATATGCTGAAATTCATGTTTAGATGATCTTCTTTTATTTCGAAAGATTTAAAAACTATTGTAACATCAGAGAAACTATCGATTCTATCAATGGCTTCAACTAAAAATAAACAAAATCTATCGACTAAAGTTATCCCAACACTTTCGATAGTATTCAGGTAATAAGTGTACTTCTGAATAATTTCTAAATTGTAATCTCGACGAATTAATTCTCCTAACCTTTTGTTAATAGAACATTTTTTTGGAATAGGTACAATAATTTGATTTTGTTGCGTCCAAGACCACGGTTTTTCACATTCTCTGGGGTCGAAAAATTCTAATTTCTCAACTTCAGGATCATCCAATACTGTGTTTTCATCATAAGGTAGAGGACAAAGAGATGCATCACAACCAATGTAGTATTTATTTTCTTGTAAAGTTAGTTGAAGGAATGCTGGATATGCTTTTATGAGTTTATCTAAATCGTCATTGGTTACAAAAGTTTGATTTTCAATATTCGTAAATAATTCATTAGTCTCATGAACAATAATTGCATTTGAAATTATTATATTCAATAAAATAATGTGTATATTTCTATAATAATTCATTTTACCTATATTTGTAGTAATTAAAATAATTATTCACTCGTTATGACTTCTGGTACAGAAATTCCGTAAATGTCGTTTAAATATTTATAATAGTACTATATAATTATACGTAATTTTTTTTTTTTTAACTTATATTAAATATTTTATTAATATACAAAAAAATTATAATATGTATTTTTGATAGAAATAATATTTCATTTTACCTTGATTTGTAGTAATTAAAATAATTATTCACTCGTTATGACTTCTTACACAGAAATTGGGTAAATTTGTGGAATATATGATTGAAACATATAATGAAGTTATGGTAATTTAAGTTTAAAAGTGTATTATAAGTTCTATATATTTTATTAATAATTGACATTTCTTTTTAAACCTTTTAGACTTAAGGTTATTTTTATTCTAAATAAATAATGCAATAATTTTAAACTTAACAAGTGTTTGACTATTTGTTAAACATTAATTATCAAATCATTGAAATCAATATCAATTTTTTTTTATTTTAATTTACATAATTTTTAGTACAGAATATATGTTTAGGTTATCGCGTAAAACTATATATTATGAATAGTTTTATTTATTATAATTTTGAGAAGTATTCAGCAACCCTTATCATACTATACTTTAAGATAAAAACCAGAAATTGAACATCAATTTTTCGAATTTGTATTTTTTTTTAAATTGAACAAAAATGTTAAAGTGTATTATTTCTCAGTTTCAACAGAAAATTGACTATCTATTTTCTTAATTAGATCATTTTCTATTTTATTTACTACTTAAATGTGTATGCTAGTTAAAAAAATAAAATTAACACCATTATAAAACATAAGGGATAAACATTAAAAATTTTATAACAGATAAACCGAGAGATATATGTAACTAACAAAAGCCAAAAAAATAATTTCACGAAATAATTATTATTTTAAGAGAAATTGAGTTGCTAGCATTAAAAGAAATACCTTGTATAAACATTGTTATAACATTATTTTTTAAAAAACGCTTTCTAATTTATTATCGCAAAATTGTTTTTCTCAAAATTATGTTCTATTTAATAAACTGCTTTTTTCCAATACATATACACTCTACTGTAAAGATCAGACTGGAAGCTTGTAGTTTTTATTATTTTATTGTCACACCCAAAGAAAAACCTCAATCAATTTTGATAGAGAAATTTTATCATAATGTTTTATTAATACGAACAAAATAATTATTCTTATAAATAATTATTGTTCAAGACAAGAAAAAAAATTATCATATTGATAAATATATCATAGATTCAATAGTAATGATATATTTATGAAATTGAACAATGAATTTATTATATAGATCGAGGTTTTTCTCTGGGTGCACATACTATGGCCATTCCCACATCGCACTCATATTTTGATACGTCTATCTTTGATCGGGTTTGATAGTGTCTAATAATTGATCTAGTTGAATTTTATAAATCTGGTCGCTAGTATACTGTTTTTGAAATTGTATTAGTTGTGTGTTGGTATTTATTTTATTCGTCCGTGGTATGCTTATATAAAATTCGATTTGTATGATATTTGATAGGTTTATACCATAATAATTGCCTTGATCGATTATGTATTTATTGTATTTTTCAACTGGATTATTTGATCGTTGAAGTTTGGTTGGATAAAGGTAAAATAGTTTTTGTCTGCGTAAGTGAAGGAGTAGTTCACCTGAGACATTGAACATACTGTTTATCGTGTTAATCTTGAACGCTCCTAAGACATGTCGGATGATACTGTTATGGCCTGTTTCTATTACTTTGAGATTATTTGCTGGTGAACAATTATAAAAAATGCTCTGTAGTCGAGTTTTGAACGAATAATGGCTCAGTATATTTTGATTAGAGTTAACGATTGTACACCCCACGTGATAAAATATATTTTTGTTAAAAATATACTTTTGTAACTTTATTATTAATAATATATTAATTATTATCGTTTTGATTTTTTTTTGAACTTTAAAATAAATTGTTAGTTTATCTTAATGATATTTAAATTAGTAATACATTTTTAAGTGTTTCGTAAAAAAAATTTTCGACTTGAAGACGATCCTAAGACAGCAATGACCAGCGTCATTAATACTAAAAATATCTTACAAAATACAAATTATGTATTTCTACATTTATTTAAAAGTACATCTTATATTTTAATTTTCAGATCAGTCACCAAAAGATGATACAATATACAGTAATTAGAAATTTATTAGAATATTTTTGAGTTATTATCCAAATGATAAATACATTATTTAAATCGAATTTTAATTTTATATTTTATTGCTACCACACATTCAGTGACGTGCCCAGGAGGGCAGGAGGTTAGGGAATAGGATAGAAAATCGTATTTTTTTTATTAACTTTGATGTCTGTTTTCACCATGAAGATAAAATAAAGTCCGAAATTTTTTTTTCCATAATAAAGTATATTACATTAGCTTTAATTTAAGATATATAAAAAAGTGTCAGACTTTCTGGAACATTTTCAAAAGTTAATTTTTTGTGAAAAAGTTGTCATTTTAAATCCCCTCCTGTGGGCAGGTAAAAGGTTAAATTTATAAAAAAAATATACCAAATGAAAAGTAATGGTATCATGCATCTATATAAAAAAAATTATATTGATTTGGTCATTTTTTAAAAAGTTATGGTAGTTTTGAGCAAAAAACTTTTCGAAAATTAGCGATTTTTAAATTTGTAACTTTTATGAAGGTTTTCCCCATTTACGGGGAACGAAGGAATTTTTTTCAATTTTTGAGGGTAATGTCTTTGACTAGATACGATTTGTGATCTCTTGACGTATCATTGAAAGAAATCGGTTCGGTTAGAGCTGAGAAAAAGTGGTAACAGACAAAAAAAAAACACATCATAGTAAAACTAATACCTTCTCAGCTTCGCATCGAAGCTAATAAAGTATAAAATAAAATAGCAAACATAATAAATATATATTATTAGTAATATGTATCAATTATTTCATTGACAGAGAATCCAGTGAATATATCAAATGGTAATGGGAAATATACTTATATATATTTAAATAAGATAAATAAATTTTACGATAGTAATTAAAATTAACGAGGTTATAATAACCTATTTATTTATTACATGTCATTTAAAATGTTATAACTTTTATTATTTACATTTGAAAATAAATTAACTAATAATAATTTAATAATAGTTATTGTTAATCTAATTATTAATTTCTGTTATATTTTATTAAACTTTCGAAATCTATGCTACCCAAATACTCTTAACATGCAGCGTTTATATAGATTTGTGTCACTTGTGCTATATGGAAAACAACACAGTTACTTTATGTCCATGTCATCACATTATAGGAAACTATTGCGCAAATAAATTGTTTAAAGGACCAAACATTTGTCCTCTATGTACCCAAGAGATAGAGTATTATAAAGATATAGGTAGGTAACATGAATCATGTATATTTTTTAGTTAAAGTGTTGCAATACACTATTTTTTTTAAATAATTAATGGATAAAGTATTAACATTATATATTTTTAGTTCATTTGACAAATTTTCAATTTGAAAGTCGCAGCCCGTACCGATTCCGTGTTCTTACTGAAACAGAGTTGTATAGTTTAAAGTCTAGTATTAAGAATGGCATGACTGACGAAGAATTTATGGCCCGTTTTTGGTACCTTCGACGCTGCCAAGAACCTGATGAAGATCTGCTGTGGAGCATTAATTTAAGCTTGATAACTCGCGATGATCGTAAGAAAATCGCAATTTTAAAAAAGGAACTTTTGTCTAACATATCTTCCGAAATATTTGTGTATAAAGACAATTTTAGAAAAAATTTAAATGACGAAGAATATTATACAGTATCTTCATTTTATAGAAGATTCCAAAAATTGTATAGAGGATACGAACTTGAAATACGAAAGACATACCTTGATTTCATGTTTACGTAATTATTTATAGATTTATAACATTAGTTTTCATGTAAAACATTATTAAAACAATTTTTAAATTATGTGGTTAAATACTAATAGTTATTTTACTAATTAATAAACGTTTGGAAGGCGAATTAAAAAAACAATAAAACAATTTATTTTGTAAAAGTAACAATAAATAACGTTGATTATCTGTATTTATCAAGCATGTTCAGTGTACTAATTTTTTAAGAATCTTAATGAAAAAGTCAATGTATTAATAATATTTTTAGGTATAAAACACAAAAATAATTAATTATTTTACATAAAAAATTTTATTTGGATAAGTTATTCAAAAATTTATCAATGTACATTCCTCAAGACTAAATTATAACGCTTCTTTATACAAGTGCGATTTTTTGAAAAAACCAATCCCTCACTAATATTTAAACATTTTTTTGAACACATTTGTACTGCAGCATTTTGTGGTGGCGATATAAAAATCACCGTCATATTTTAATCTATACCCAGTCCTAACTGTGTTACTTATTTTTTTAACGTGTAATTGTATACATGTCTTCAAGTCTATTAATTTAGTTCATTTAATAAACCGATTACTCAAGATTAACTAAAGTGTTGAAGTTTTGATTTGTTGAATTCACATATTTCAAAAAATAATGAACAATAAAAGTAGTGAATATAAAAATGTTTAATGTATATTGATGAAATTTATTTGAATTGATATTAAATTTGATCTCAGTGTATATAATAATATTTTAAATTGGACGGAAATGTTTACAAATAAAATAATATAAATTAAATTACATTTTTAAAAATTATTTTCATAGTTTATCAAGAGTTATTTAAGTCTCTTCTATGTAAAATCCAGGATAGATAGTTAGCCATCGCCGAAGAGAGGAATGTTAACTTCTTTTGAAAGGCTGCAACAAAATGCTAAATCTACTTATTTTGAAAATTTATTTAACAATAGAATATTAAATAACAGAAACTGTTGAGGTATTAGATCTGTAGTTAAGTTTTATGTAGATAATTTTACGTTGAGTTAAAGTAAAAAGTTTTTTTAATTTTGTTATGATTTATCTCATAAGATACATAACAAAACTTCACAATAATATATAAAAAATTCTACATAAAGATGTTAAAAAAAATATGATGAATATACAATAATTATTTACTAAAATTAATTGTAAATTTAAATATATTAATATATAATATAATAAAAATACATTTTTTTTTTGTGTTTTAGAATTTCAAATATAACAGAAATATAATAACATAGTTTTAAATATAAAATTATAACTTTTTGATTATCTACTATTTTTACAGTTAAATTTAAATAAAATTAGTTTTTTCTTCTGAAAAGTTTTCAAAAGTGGCCATAGCTTGTTTTTGTAGCAAGCCTTTCAATTAATTAACTAATTACTTAATTAGCAAATATCCAAACATGGATATTAACAAGTTTCAAATTTGTGAAAGTGCACATCAGGTTCTACTGTGTTATTAATTTGACCACACTGTCCATATTAATGAAATGAAATGTGTTTGTTAAATATAAAATGAATGGTAAGATGGCTATTACCAAGTTCTTTAAAAATCAAGAATATCTTTTTTACATAATGGACAATGCTTTAACAATTCCATTTCATTTAATGTAGCAAAGCGTTTACATTGTCTGCAACACCATGCTGATTTTACATCTGTCAGTGGTTGACCTGTAGCGATATTATACTCTGGTTTGATTTTACATTTGGGACATTTTATACTCCTATAAAATTATATGATATTAACTAGATTAAATGTATCTCAACAGTGGCGCCAATCCTTAAGCATTTGTATTGTAAATAAAAAAACATTTAAAGTTAAAATATACATTATTAATCATTAGTGTAGAATTTATGTTGATACATTATAACTTATATAATTTATAATTGTTATTGGCGTCACTATAGTTTAAATGGTAACAAAAGTATAATACCAAGCTGAACATTTGTTTGAACAACTATAACACTGATAAAATGGCGATTTTGTATCTTCAGGAGTATATTTACTAAACATGTTTAAAGATAAACAGTTATAATTATTTTTCTGAAAAAACAAAAATTATATTTTATATTTGTATTATAATTAATATTAATTATTATAAATATTAATAAACAGAATGTTTTAGACATAATTGAGACGCTTTATAACATTTCATAATTATATAATTTTGTTGTAATTTTTTAAAAAATAATTATTGCTTTTTTAGACTTTGTTAGAGACATTTTTATTATTTATTATTAATAAGTAAAAAAATGTTAATTTTTTTTCTTCAAATAAGTAATATTTTTATAAAAAATTTTGATAGGTTGGTAACTATTTTAAAACAAGTACTCATTGAGTTACATGCATCTTAATACATAGAGTGAGCTGCTCGTAAGAGTGTATGTATACTCCCTCCTCACATTCCATATCAACTTAATGTATTAAAATAATTATATCTCAATAAGACTTGATCTAAAATTAAAATTGATCCATTAATAATTTTTTGTAAAAAATGGACTAAAAATAATTTAAAATTTTGAAAAACCAAAAATTAAAATTTTTTTTTATTTGTAGTAAATAATAAAAAATATGGTTTTAAAGTAGTCTAAAAAGAAAATAATTATTACAGACATTTTTTTCAAGAAAATGATAATTGTAAATTATAAGCATTGTAATTATTGCCTGAGGTACTCTGTGTACTAATAATTATAAATATTGTTATTTGACATGATTGTGGTAATATAATGAAACCAGTCATTGGTAGCTTCCAAGTTTGTAGTAATATTTATGTTTGAGACATATTTCAACTCTGAAAGTAATTTTTAAGGTTTTTGAAAAATTTATTTTAGTTTCCTTAAAAACTTCTATAGTTATAAGAGTAAAATTGTTTATTTATAATGCATCAAACACATTGGCCATTAACTATGTATTTTTATGACTGGGACCATTATCATAAACTTTTAGTGATTAGTGTATTACAGAATCAAGAGTTTCTAGTTTCATCATTGCCCTAGAAGTAATATTGTAACAACTAGATCCTATAGCAGAAAGAGCTATGATTGAATAAATTTGTTCAATATTTAATAAGTCTTCATAGTTTCGAAGAGCCAGAGATGTCCACATGGCAGTTTCATACTCTCCTTTATAAAATAAAAATAGTAAATTTTCATTATTAATTATAAATGCATTAAAATTGATAAAAATAATTTAATAATGATCTCTTACCATTATACAGTTGCTGTTGAGCAAGGATTAAAAAATGCAAGGATTCAACAATTCGCCAACTGTTTTCAATTATTTCAGCTCGGTTTTTAAATAATAAGCTGTCTATGTTCACGATTTCTGATTCTACAACTACCCAATATATTAAATAATAAACATATTCTAAAAACTTTAATTAAAAAAACATGTATTTTTGGTATTACTTGACAAAACATTTTTTTCTTTGTATTCTTCAACTAGTAAAGCTCCTATGGTTGCCAATTGTCTAATAATATTAGGTTGGATATTCATTTTTAACTCATAGTAAACTGACTAAATAAAAATTGTAATTGAAAATATGCTGGCAATATAAGTATATTAAAGTTATTACAGCAAATATTAACTGTGAAGCTTCAATATATCTTTCTTCATGTTTAAGTTTTGAAACCGAGATTAGAATATTTTTAATACTATTAGGCCAACTTTTTTGATCTTGATTTGATAAATCTTTTACAAGTTCATTTAAATTGCATAAGTCAATACTATTTATTTCATGTATTTCATGTTTAGAAAACTAAAAATATATACACCACATACTGAAAGTTTTTTAATTTATTCTGTATCTAAAAACTTTTTATTAAAATATTTTTTTTAATGTGTTATTGAATGAATTGAGATATGTTTAATAAGGAAAAACAAATTAACTATGTTTTAAATTTTGATAAGTTAAAAAGTGTTTAGTTTTATTATCCAATTTTTTCTTTTAATGGTTAAATTTTCAAAATTTTAACCAATGTAAATTTAATTCTTATATTAATTATTATAATAATATATATTAATTAATTAAATTATTAAATATTAGTTGGATTAAGTTCATTTGTCTCAAACTTGTTTACATTTAGATCCATAGGTATATCTTCAACCATTCCACTATTATAAAAAAAATTAGAGATAGTTTCTAATAACAAGTTATTAGAAGGTAAAGTCTTAGAAAGTGATGTTAAAGAATCATAATCCTTGAGCATAATATAACATTCAACCAATTTATCTTGATTGTCAGCTTTTTTAAAATATTCAACAGCTAATTCCCTGCGATTAAAATATTTTCATTATTTTAGTTTAATATATACTATTTGTTAAATAATGAAACCTTACCATTGTTGATTGTCAAAAAAGTGATCTCCTATTCCTTGCCAGGCTAAATTTAATGTTGTACTAGGAACACCAGATAATAAGGAGCTAGATTTAAGTAACTCGGCTACTTTGAACCAATTACCTAACTTTTGATACATCAGGACTGCTAAATCTCTAATTTAAAGTTATTTTACCATTAAATTTTAGTATTTAAAATGTTGACTAACCAATATATTTTACTTTCTATCAGCTTCAATATACAGTTTTTCAGCTTTTTCAAAATCTCCAAAATATATGGCAATTTCAGCTTTCTGTATTACTATATCCTGAATATTTGCCAATTGTTTCACTAACCTGATACCATAATAATCTAGACATTGCACAAATGCGGTTTCACTTGTCACAAGATCTAGATTTTGTAATGCAGCTTCAGCTAACAATCGTCTAGAATTTATTTTGTATTAATATTTATTTAATTTTCAATTTTATATGAACAACTTACGATAATCTTGGATGTGGGTTATCATTGATAAATTTCATGGTGTCTGAAATGCTAACTTTTTCCAATAATTGTCTAGTGTCTCTCAATGATTTTGTTTCCAACATTACAATATAATCTAAAGTTGGATTTTCAGGAGATAAAATTATTTCGTCTAACATTACTGTTTGTATTTCCAAATCCTTAAAATTAATATTTAAATATTTTAAAATAAAAATATTGAAAGCACAATAAAAAAGGCAGGAATTAATTATTTCTGTCTTTAAAAAAATTTAAATGTAAGAATGTTTTCTGATTTACTACTATATGTAAATAAATTACTTAGTAGTTTGTTTCCAATTCTAGTTTCACATTAGTTATTTTTAGAATTTCGGAATTTTGACTAAAAAACCCACAACTTTAGGATTGATTTTTTTGACACCTAATTTTGAGCACAATTCCTTTACAGGTGATTGGTTTATCATAAAACACTCAATTACTAATAAAATAAAATAAATTTTTGATATCTTTTAGTTACATATATTTCTTGATTTATTAGCTAATAATTACTTTTTAGAATCATATTAACATATTTTTCTAACTTATAAAATAGAAAATAATCTAATTAAGAAAATAATTGTTCAATAACAACTTTTGGACCAGTACATGGGAAGTTGGTCGTATTTTTATACCGAATTGGAAGGAAGAGTATGGTAGGGAAATGATTAGTGATAAAAAAAGAAGCACTTACTCCTCATCTCCAGTCATATCTTTTAATTGTTAATAACTTCCAAAGTATTTTTAATTACATCATTATCTATTAACTTAGGTAGTAAGTTATAAACATTGCCATTTAAAAAATGACATTGACACCCCTATAAGTTATAAGGGATGATTCTAAAAAGTAATTATTAGTTTATGAATCAAGAAATATATGCAAATAAAATAAATAACAATTTTATTTATTTTAAGTAATTTAGTGGTTTATGATAAACTGATCATCCCGTAAAAACAGGTCAATTGAACTTTTGAGTAAAAAAAATGTAATATTTTATATCAAAACTTTTTGGTAAAAAAAATGTTGATTTTTCTAATTTTGAATAATTATTTTAGTTTAGTTTCTAATTAAAAACTTATGAAAATCCTCTTAAATTTAGCAAAACAAAAATCAACATTTGACCTATTATTTAGTATTTCCTTTAATTTTTAGTTATTTAGAATATTATATTTATTCCAAAGGTAAGCATTAATTAGTTAAATAGTAAAAATTATTATTTTTAACTATTCAACTTAGCTATTTAATTATTAACTTTTTTATTTAACTAGTTTAATTGATATAACAGCCTTTTTAAATTAATATAATAATAATTAAACTAAATTCAAAATTTTATTAATTTTTTTTTTAAGGTATGTGTTTTGAATAAAAAAAAAAATCTAATATAAATACAACTACTTATCAAACGTATTCGAAGGAGGTAGGTTAAATTTAATTTTCCTCCACCTTAAATAATATATTTGTAAAGCAATAAATATTTTCAAAAAATTTTCAAGGGGTGATGATTTTTGAACTTAAGAATTAGCTTCTGTAGTATTGCTCATTATAAATTAGGAAACCAGAAAGAAAGAAAATAATTTCTATGTGATTATATAGCTTTTTTTTTTTTAATAACTGTAGTTTTAAAGATAGAACAATGCAATCAATATCAAAATGTTGAGCTACACAAAAGAAATAAAAAACATTTTTTTATCACTAATATTTTTTTCCCATTTTGTTTTAAAAGTTTAAAATCAATTCTCAGCTTTTACTAGTACACAAATCAATAAAAAATTGATTTTAAGTGAATTAAGAATAAGAAAAAAAGGACCAAAAAGATTAAATAAACTTCAATAAAACTAGGTTAATTTAAAACAGTGCTTAATTTAACTAGTTAAATTTATAATTTGTTTACTTTTAATTGTTAATTTATCAACATTGTTCCTACTTTACTTAAGTTGAGTCGATTATTTTCATAAACATGCTTATCTTTGTCTTTATCTACTCAGTGATTCAATTGTTACAAACAATAGAAACCATTTTTGTTATTTTTATATATAGAGTGGTTTTTTTTATCATAAACCACCAATTTTTCTATTATTTTACACATTATTTAAATTTATTAAAAAATAGAAATAATATTCAGAATATTTTTTTGTTATATGTTAAACTTAATTTATCAATCATAAATTAACCATCAATCATAATTAAAAATTTTATACCTTAATAGAAAAAGAAATTGTTACTGATTTGATAATAACTTGTATTTGACATTTGATAGTATTTTAAGGAGATTAAAAACTTATTTAATCTTATTTGATTTATATATTTTTAAATGATAATTAATATATTTATACACTTTTATTATGAGATGTTATATAATATGTAAAATGTTGACTGACACTAGAAACATTTTTTTCTCTCGTAAATTAATTAAATATAATTGTTATTATTAGATTAAAAAGTAATTAATTAATTAATTAATTTTAAAAGTAAAATTAGGTTATATAAAATTACATTCTTCTTGAATATATGGATTCAGTGGTACTAAAATGTTATTGTTAAAAAAAATGACAGATGTGTTATTCTTAAATCAGCGATGAAATGAAGATACCTAAAAAAACATGTGCCTTAATTTTATCTTTTACTTTAAATTAATAAGAACTTTGAAATAAAGTTACTACCCTTATAAAATAAAGGTGTGAATATGAAAAATACTATATGATTAATAAATTAAGAATAACATGAAATTATGAGACACTAAGATAAAATATTTTAATATTATTGTTATTATTTTATTAATTGTAAGTGGTATTTGATATGTATTATCCTGTATATGGAAATAAAAAATAGTCTTAAGTAATTTTATACTTCAAAGGAAGCTATGTATGCAGATGTACTAATTGGTTCTTCGGGATTCAATCCTCTTATTACATACATTCTAGTTTTTTCCATAATAGCCAATAATTCTGGGTCATCTGAAGCCCATTTCATAGTCCAAACATCCCGCCTTTGAAATAAAGGGGAAGGTTCTGGACCAGACAGAATGCTGTCTATTGATAGTTCAATGAGTGATAATACTCCAATAGAATCAATGATAGCCAACCGTCTAAAAAAATTGATGATATTCCAAATTTGTATGATTATGGTATTATACGGTATGAAATAAATTTCAAGAAACATTCTTAACTATTATTGAAAATAAAAAAAAATATTTTAATTATAATTTAAGTATTTAAAAATAATTGAATTTCAAGTAAAATATCTTTTAATTTAAATAATTAAAAAAAAATTTATTTTTCATAAAATTATTTGTATATTGCCTTAACAATCAACATTAAATTAAAAATAAAGAAAGATATCCAAAAATCTAAAATATAGTAACTTAATAAAAATATTTATTTTGATTCAGGTAAAATGATAGTTTTAAATACTTTTGTAAAAATGTTGCAACATGTAAATTTGATCTCACTGCAAAATTGAGTTTGTTTTTAATATAATATTGATACATATCTACTTTTATCATTACACTCAAAATTACAATTTTTAGAAAATTTTAGGTAAATTTAAAATCTTATATAATTTGTAATCAATAGTCTTAAAACATAAAGAAGGGAAATTATCAAATTTAATTGTCTTAAAATTGGAAGATATAAGTTAAGACAAGCTAATTTCAATCTCAGACCATCACTGCAATGTATATTTCATCTTCCAAACATCCTAAAATTTGTATAATATGAGTAATACTAACTTTGAGTTGGAATTTAAAGCAAGTTTATAGGGTTTTGAAGATAAAATTCGTCTTTCTGTTAGAGTAATGTGTGGAAATGAGTATTTTTGTAAGGCTCCACTTTCTCTACCAATCAATAGTATGCTATCACTAACGGTCATGCAGGTTATATGATCTTTAGTCCCCTGAAAAATACACACTCATTAAAATGTATGGATTGAAATATTAAATTTGGAACACTAAAAAGACTTTCTGTGTCACAATTAATAATAATAATAATATTAAAAAAAAATTGCAGCTACATTATGGAGTCTAGGATAAAGAAGCATATCAAACAATTTCTATTTATTAGGAGGGCAAAATTTAATTAAATTTTTTATTTAAGCTAATAAGAAATTTTTATTTCATCATAAAAAAAAATATATACTTTTCAATATCATAAATGGCACATTATTTTAACACTAAAAATATTTTATATGTTAAAATAGACAAATAATTGAAAAATCCGGATTTCAATTGATTCTCTCATTTAATTCTAGACCTTCAATATTTATATATACTCAATAACTTACAAGTTGAAAAGCAGAACTTTTGAGATCTGAAGACTCTTGTGTAAGTTCATCAATACCAGAGGGTGTATCATCAATATGAAATATTTTTATTTTTTTACGTTTTGCTAAAAAAGAAAAAAAGGGAAATATAAAAAATTTAATTAGACATAATATAAAAATTACTTTATAAATTTAGAATAAACTTATAATCTTATAATCTTCAGAAAAACTGTTTTTTTTATTATTAATAACACTTAAGAACTTAATTAGGTATAATATAAAAGTATAAGACATTCATTTTATTGAAAAATTCTAAAAAACAAAATATTGTTTGACTCAAAAAGCTAACAAAAATAAGTAGTTAAATAATTTAATTCAAATCCCACAAAAAAATTACATATACATATTTTAGGACACAATTTTATCATAGTTACAAGCCTTGATGATTGTAAAAATATTCTTTACAAAATACATACAATTTTTTTAATATATTTTTTGTGGTATTTTGGTTTTTTATTATTAATTTTTTTTTTAGTTTTAAATTGATAATTAAAATTTTAATTATTCTATTTATCTTTAATGTCTTTTCTAAAAAGGTACATTTGCGTGTTAGAAAGAACGGGAAAACCTAACTGAACTAAGTAGACTGTTTACTTAAAAGTCTGACAGTATAAAGTAATCATTAATTTTAGAATAAATATTTTAGGATGTTTATTTTTAATTAAGCTTTAATAAGTTAATTTAAATTGTTATATTTACTATTGATAATTGATGATGAGTGAGATTTAGGAATATTATACTGCCATGTAATAAAACTTGTGTGTGATGCAGCCACTACATGAGTTCCATTCATTGCTATAAATATTGGCTTAAAATGTATATGTTTAGCTAAAATAAAACAGAGTATTAATACACAAGGTTATTGATAAACTATTACATACAATTTTTTCAAAAATATGAAACATAATATAACTTTTAAAAATATTATATGAGCAATAGTTAAAAAATCATTCTATATAAGCAAAAAAAAATGTTCATTATAAAACATCATTTTAAATAGTTAAAATGATTATATGTCATAAGACTGATTTATACATCTGGTTGGTTATTAATTTATTCAAAATTTAAAATGACACTTTTGGTTACAAAAAATATAAATTTATTTTTTCTTACAATCAACTGTTGTATTAATATTATTACAAATAATTAAACTATATGGTGTAGTTTCGTCATTCTTATTTTGTACTGCAAGTACACAATGATCTCTGTAAGCATCTATACCAACAAGAGAATTCACTTTTGAATGATAAAACTAAAATTAAAAATATTTAATAGTGTTGAAGTCAAAATATTAAGTAATATTCCATAAGTTTTTTATTTACTTCATTTTTCTTTATATTCCAAAAAGTAATTTCTGTAACAGACTCTTCATAATTTTTATAGGCGTATATTATAGTATTTGCAAAATAACACCAAGGGTAATCATATCTTACATTAGCAAAATAAACAAAGCTATCTATAGCCAATGTAATACGTAATGAAGTACTTTCCCAGCAACATGCAGATACCATAAATCCAGGAATTCTTAATGTTCTTAAATGCTAAAAAGATATAATTAGCTTCCAAAATTAATAAGAAAAAAATATTAAACAAAAGTATTGCTCTGATTTTATAATTTTTTACCTCACCAAATGGTGAATACAGTTGAAGAACATTAGATTCTTTAACTTCTCCTTCAACCATTAATGACCCAACTAATGCTAAAACTGAACCATTATGATTCCATTTAATAGACACAATAGACATATTACATTCAAATACAACTGGATCTAAACAAATTAAATTATAAAAGGAAACCTATATAGGATTAATTTATTGAGTTGATAAATACTTGTGTCATATTGATCTTTCATTAATTGTACATGTCCAGTTTTAAATGCAATAGCTAATTGTGGACAATCATCTATATTTTTATTTAGCCAGTGACATCCAGAAATAGGTATGCTATTGAGTGATGATGGTAGACAAGTTATTCCTATTTTAGACTATAAATACACCAATTATTACAAATCAAATTTAGTTATATTATTATTAATTAGAGTTTTTAAATGATTAATTAACAGCTTACTACAAAATTTCCATCACTGTCATACAAATGGATTTCTCCAGTTTTTGTAGTAAAAATAAGAAATTTAGAGTTTGGAGACCATTGAACACCACTTAGTATTATTTTTTTTAATTCTTTACCCCATATACGGCTTCCTTCTACTGATCCAACAATAATAGCTCCTAATATAAGAATAACGGTGGTAAATTAAAAAAAAAATGATCAAGTTAATTTATTATATAAGTTTACCATCTTCATAAACTATACAAATTTTTTCTCCATCTCCATTCCAAGCCATACCCTTTACAATAGACTTATTTCGATTATTAATCATTTCTTCTTGCCATGTTCCCTGTAAAAAAGATTAAAAAATAAAAGGTAAACTATACTTCTGTGATTAATACTTTATACAGTGTCCAAACAATGATAAGTCCATTTTCGTCACTTGAGGTTAATTTATTATACTTTTCATTCCAAACAATAACAACCACATTACCAGTATGGCCTTCGAGTGTTTTATTTATAGATAAATTAGCTTGCCCAGCTAGACCTTTCAGTTTACTATCTCCAGAATTGCTAGAATCAATTTTTAAAACTTTGAGCAGCCCATCATCACCACCAACAGCAATGCAATCTTGACTTGAATTCCATTCCAGACAATTTATTTTAATGTTATTTGGTATAGCAATCTAAAAATGAATTGTAATATAGACAGGTAATTAAATAAAAGACACTAATTTTTTTGGAAACTATTGAAAATTAAAAATTTTTGCAAATAAAAATATTATTTGATTCAAAATATTAACAATAATGTAGGTTAGATGATTTATTTTTCATCTCATTAGAATTAAAAACTTAAACATTAAGTTTCTTTAATGGGAAACCCGATATTTAGATTGTTGACACAATGGTAAAAAAAATTTCAAACGGTTATGTTCTCATACTTTTTGTATCCTATGAACTATTTTTCTGTTTTTGTTAATTTAATTAACTTTTAATTAAAAGTTAACTTTTAATTTAGTTAATTTAATTTTTTTTGTTAATTAAAAGTTTAGAAATTTATGACCAATTTTCTATTGATGATTTTTTGTTTAGTATATAGTAGTTGTTATTTGTCACAATTGTTATAAAACCCATTATAATCCATCAAACAGAAATCTTATATTTAATCCTAAACATTTTTTAAACAAAAAAATATCATAAATTAAATTATGCTTACTTTTTTACTTAAGTATAAGAACATAATTCATGAGTTACCAATTTAATGTTTTAAAGTCGTTTAAGTATGAATATATATTAATTGTAGCATCAAACATAAAAAAAAAATAAATATGTATATTTGTTTACACTTTTAAATATTTTGTTTAAAACCGGTTGTTATGATAAGTAATATCTACGGGACAGTCTTGCCAATTGGAATGTGTAACGTTTTAACATTGAACTTGAGAGATATCTATATTTAAAACATCAATCAAATTTTCAACTCAAAATTTTGTAAAATAAATAAATAGTAAAAATTTTATAGTTACATTAAGATAAACAGCTATACAGAATGTTCAAAAGTAGGGAAACAGGTTAATTGTTACAAACAATAAGAACAATAGAAACCCGTTTCCTTACTTACTAACCACTTAGATAAGTAACACTTGTTTTTTTTATTTTCATGTTTATTTTTTGTTTATAAATTATTAGCTGGTGTCTAACGAAGTTATCGGTTAAGTTTAATAATTAATAGATAAATATTTACTACTTGTAATGTTATTTTTATATTTTGTTTTTTATGTCATAGTAAAAAATTATCCCTAATTTTAAGGTTAACTGTTGTAAAAAATGTATAGTGAATAAATTAAACAATTTATTAGATTCAATGAAGGCATCCCCTATGACTAGCACCTATTTATAACTAAAAATGTGATTTCTATGGTAAATAATGAATCATTTTCATTTATAAAATAAATTACATTTCAATTTTTATGTCTCACAATTATGTTACATTTTGTTACTTTTAGTGACGATCAAAGAATAATGTATTAATGATACAAGTAATTCATAAAGCTTAAACAATTATATGGTCATAAGTGATGTTAAGGTGGTCAAAGAAGAGTGTATTTGATCTTTATAAAGTATAAAAGTATATTTTTGTACTTCATACTTGTAGAATAATTTCTTTAACGTTAACCATTCGATTTCTCTTAAAATATTAGTAATATGGAGAATTTTTTTTCTGGTTTATTTTAGTTTTATATATTTCTTGTTTATCTTTTAATAAGTACTTTTTAGTTCTATTCCTTATGCTTCTTTCCTTAATTTTGTTTTATGGTCACATTTAACTAGCTTGTTAGAAGAACATTTATTACTACGTTTGTTCCATTTATATTATACACGTTATGTTTTCATTTGTTTAATTCATTAAACATATTAATTAGAACAGAGAGAGATACTATTGTTGAACAAATAATGGTAATAATGCTGTTTGAGTGGTCGTTATAGGTATAGTTTTTGACATTATCACTTCCGTCATATTTATATAATTACTTTATCATTAACTCAATTTAATTACTAATTAATAAGTTAAGTTAAAAAGTTAACTACTTGCCTATCGCCAACTAACTCCGTTTCGCTTGGATATATCTTTTAACCAACTGTGTTAGGATACTGGTCAGGCGTATTCAAGATTACACATAATTTATACTTACTAAATATTTAAAATGTAACCTACTATATAAATGACAAAAAACAATAATTAAACTTTATTAAATAATATCTCTTTCAACGGCTTCTTCTTTAGGTAATTAAAACTTATTTATGGAGTACATTTGGGGATGTAAGGGGTTTAAATATCTTCCAAGTTATAAATGAACATGCCTATTTCTTTTTCTTTTTTTTTTATTAATTTTGAGATTATTTCTAAGCATAAAGTCCAATTATGGTTATGAATAAAAATTTAAGCAGTCCCAAAATTTAATACACACGTACGGCTTTTCTGGATGTTTTAAAATGTTTACACATTTAAACTGAATATATTTTAGTGTCGATTCAAAGTTGAAAAGGTATTGATTTTACCATACCCTAAAATGGTTTCGTTATACTATATGACTTTTGAACTACGCCTCATCTAAAAACTATAAGTTATAATTTTTCGTTTAAACTAATTTTGTTATATTCGATTAATAAATACAAAATAACGGACATTANCATTTAAACTGAATATATTTTAGTGTCGATTCAAAGTTGAAAAGGTATTGATTTTACCATACCCTAAAATGGTTTCGTTATACAATATGACTTTTGAACTACGCCTCATCTAAAAACTATAAGTTATAATTTTTCGTTTAAACTAATATACTATCAATAATTATACAATTTTGTTATATTCGATTAATAAATACAAAATAACGGACATTGAATATTTCATTTTTTGTTACATACAGATTAAGTGGTTATCAGATGATTTTTATTACAAATTTTACTCATTATAATGAAATAGAGAATAATTTTCAAAATGATAGGAGAGGGAAAAGTAACCGTCGACAAACGCTGACTATGTGTTTCTCAGTTAGGATATTCTCAGCGGTCAAACAGCGGCAGACTCAGTACTCCGTAGTCTTCAATATGGTTCGGATGTCGCCGAACGTGAGCTTTGTTCTGGCCCTGACTATAACTTTGGCCACCGTATATGTTAACGCGTGTCCATCGAAGTGTTTGTGCTTTAAGACAACTGTAAGATGTATGTTTTTACAATTGGATACCATACCCGACAGAATTCCCCCAACCACTACTGTACTGTAAGCACAATTATACTGCATACAATTTTTTAGAATATTTTTTATTTATGATCATATTATTTTTCAAATGATCATTATTAGTACTGTTAAATCTAATTTGGTCAATATGAAATTTAGAAGTATTACTCGTTTAGTTGGTTAAGTACATTCTTAAATCAATATCGAAATATTTTAATTATAATATAAAAATACTTCTTGTTAGTTACATATCCGGAGAGGATTATAGAATTACAAGTCTCCCAATTGAAAAACTCTGGATACGTTTCAGATTTTCAGTAATTTCATTTTTCACGTCTAGAGATTTATTTTTGTGAATGTTTTTCTCACGATTGTATGTGTTATCAGAGGATCAAAACAAAAGATATCCAGGGGGATTTTTTTTTAAAGTGATAGTTTATTGTAATTCTGTTGAATTACAATAAGTGAATTAATTATGTTTAATCAGTCACTGTGATGTTTTTCAAAAATATTAATACTATTTTATGATACGAAATTTCACGAAGAACTGAAAAATTTATTATTCAAGAAGTTCATTTTTCACGAGTTTAATTAATAAAAATGACAAAATATTATTTTTTAAATTTCTATTTTGTAATTAAGTTTAAAATGTAATAATATTTCAATGAAATAAGTGAATAAAATGAGATGGCATAATTGACTTTTATTGTCTTATGTATATCCTTTCAAAATATAACTCTAGTTGCGTCACTGAATATTTCAGGGGCTTATGTTAATTTTTCTTTTAGTGTATATATATTTTTTATTTGCTACTTATTAGTTATATTAATTTTTAAAACTTATTACTATAATTATTGTGATAGAAATTTCAATTGATATACCAGAGTACTTTATTAATAAACTTTGACGCCATAACTTTATAAACAAAAGCAATAATCTCTTTAATGGTTTATTCATTTAATTGTTGACTTGCTGTGTATTTTATTTTTTAAGTATATGATAAATTTGATTGATTTGTATTTATGTGTTTTAAAACAAAAATAAAGTTTCCCTTTTTTAAATACAAGTTAACGTATTACAATTTATAGCTAAAAAATAACAATAAATTTGAAACACTTTTGTATAAAATATGGCATAAAAATTTTGTTGCCGATTAATGAACTTTGGTAATGTAAGTTTTTCGTTATACAGTATAAATACATAAATATAAGTAAATGTATAGAATCATTTTGTACAACTTAAAACTTATTAAACAACTGTTGTTATTCTTACTGGTTTTTTTTTTAAATAAATTGATTGTAATTAGTTAAATAACTGCGAATTAAATTAAACTTTTTTTGAGTGTTAATTGTAGCGTGACGGTTTCAGTAAAAAAATTAAAGACTGATTAAAAAGTTGTAATAATTTATTAAAACTGTAGATAAACATTGTACATTAAAAGTACAATTTTATTTTTATGAATAAATGTATAAATAAATTAATAAATGTGAATGTATGATATTATATTAATATCATACTTGAGACAAACAATTGTATTTATAAGCTTTGCAAATGAAGAGTATAGGAAAAAAAACAGTAATAGGTCATTTTTAAAATTTTTATTTAATAATTTAATTCATTAGCTGATTAGGAGTAGTATCAAGTAATATAGTTCATTTGGTGACAAATTATTTCATTTTACTAATATTGAAAAGTTTATTTTTGTTTTATTATTGAAGGAATAGAAATATATAGTTTTGTTTTTGCTTTCCTGAAAAATGTACATACATGGACTACTATCGTTTTCATCTGTATCCTTCAAATATTAATAGTGCAATATAAAATAAGTGATGTTAGTTGTTGTAATAGTATGTGTTTATGTGTTGTTACAGTTCTATAGAATAAATTACACGCATTACAATTAATTCATCAAAACCCGGTTTTCAACAAAATTAATATCATTTAATGCAACCGATGTTACGGATGAAAGCGTTTTACCCTAAAACACAGCCTGACACATTTATCATCTTGTATACTTAAATGCTATTACACATGAACGAGTAATGTGCGAGTATATATTAGCTGCAGATAAATTTAAAGAGTTCATGAACTGTATTAAAACGTTTTTTGTAAAGTACATTTTAGGTAGTCTTAAACATGTTTAATATTACTCATATCAATATGAGTAGAATTAAACATGGTAAGTAAAATGAGTTAAGTTATGTGGGCCAAAGAAGTAATTTTAGCTCGAAGATCTATATTTTTAAGTAGTCAAATATTTTATAAGCACACCGACTTTTCCAATAATGAAAATGATACTTGGATTTCTGGGAGAATTCTTTAAATGAAATATAATATCAAATATTTAATTAATTTTTCGATGTTTATAACTTCATCTTTAAAAACAATTCTTTACACTCATATGTGTTTATATGTTGTTACAATTTTATAGAATAAATTGAACGCATTATAATTAATTCTTGAAAATCAGGGTTTTTAATAAAATTAATTTTATTTAATGCAAACCATGCATTGCATGTTTTTTTTCAAGATAGTCATTAGAAGTTTATATTAAATTCTGCACGTAGATAGATAACTTTGAAGCTGATGGGAGTAATCTATATTCCTATAAAACATAGACTTCTTTGTATTATGATTTTTTATTTTTTTTAATAGTTTAAATATATGGTAGAAATATTTAGTTTTTTTTAAAGTGCTAAAAATCATAAAATATATACTTTTTTGGGAGATTTTTTTTGTGTTGGCTCACGGTATATCCCAATAATGTTACATTAATATTACTTTTTAAGTAAAAAAAATGCAAATCAATGTGTAGTAAATTCTTGACATTTTCTCAGTTTTATTACTTTTTATATAACAAGGACGTGCGCAGACAGTATTCTAGTATTAGTTTATTTTTTTTAAGAAAAAATTAATTTATATTGTATCGAATACATTGATATTTAGTTTTTTTAATGTAATCAATATTGCAAGTAATTCCAAAGTCTAATTTCATACCTATGCGAGATATTGTGATGCTTTATATATTAACGAAACTTTGTTTGTGATGCTTTTATCTCTATAAATTTAAGGCTTGTAAGGTTTTTTTCATAAGAAAATGATTGAACAATTAATAATATCTGAACTATTCACGTCATAATATAGAATATAAATGATTTTGCTTTTATTATTTAATGTAACACACCTATGTCATAAAGTTGGTTATCTTTTTAACACAATTATGTGTTACAATATAGTCATAACAAAATATCAGTAAACATAGATCCAATTATTGATATAAAAATTATTTTTTTTATTTCACACATTTTACAAAAAGATATTTTAAAATATACTTTCTTAAATAATTGTAAAAAGACTTTATTTTTTAAATTTGTAGTAATTTATTATTTTAGAAAAATTATGTAGTGTTTTACGATACAGTTATTGTATTGTAACTTTTGTATTCATAGAATAATTTATACTTTATTAAAGATTAGACTTTAGAAATAATTAATTTTATTCGACGGTTTTAATCCACACATGATTATTCTTATAGTGTAAAATTTAAGTGTAAATGCAATTTTTGTTCCGCCTTAAAAAATTAAATGATAACAATATCGTTTAAAAATACGATAAAAGTATTGTAAGACGTTGGTCATGTCATTCTATAATAATGTTATATTAAAATTAAAAATCTATACAAAGTAAAAGAAGTTTAACTTGTAAAGTTGTCTAGTAGCAATAATTTTCAAATGCGTCTAATGAATAAACTAAAAAAACATTTTTGTATTATTAAGTATTTAATATAAGTGATGAAATAAATAAACCAAACAGCTACAAGCAGTATTTGATATGATTCTTAGTATACTAAGTATATTGTATAGTTATTAATAGCTGTGAAAAAAATATAACAGAAATCATACTCGAGAACAATTAACATTTTAAACGATAATATATTTTAGAATAAAATTAAAATAAACTAAGACTAACTTTTAATAATAAAAATGTAAAAGCTAAGTACAATGTGTATAATTTCAACAGTTATATTTTTATTTATCCAGAGATTATGAAATATATTCTATACATTCTATTGAAAGTAATGTTAATTATATTTAAGCTTGAATATTTTGAAAGGATTTTATAAATATTCATGTAATTCATGCCAAGCAAATAAAATGGTATTTTCTGATTATCGGTTATTGGCTCTATTGGTTATAATACTGTGAAGAGATCACGCTGCGATATTTTACTGTTCATCCAGAAAGTCAGCAAATACCGGTTTTTAAGTATAGTGAATAGCTTGAAGTTAAGAATCACACACTCTCAAGTTCTTGTCTAAATTATTTATTATTAATATTTGCTTATTTTATACTATTTCCTATCAAAGCTACAAGACATTTTTTTACTTAACAATGTCGATATCCGTAAAATAATTTCACGCAAATAAATTATTTTAACATGAATTTGTTTGCAATGTTTTAGATTAATAAAACTTTAGTGCGACTGATTTAATTCTGTAGTGTAATTTATTTTTATCTATTGTAGTATATTCATTATTTAGTTGTAAGAATAAAAAATTATAATTTTATTATATACATGATGTTTTTATCAAGTTTAAAAGTTCTTTAAAATAAATATTAAAAGGAATAATTATTTAATTATTTCTTTATAATCTAATAATAAAATAAAAACCTATAAAAGTGCGTTGTAATCCTTAAGCTTTGCGATAATTTTAATGTAATAACATGTATTATTGTGAAATACTTTTCGTAATTATTATAAATTTACATTATTGGGTACAAATGTTCAATACAATAAACATGAATTTTTTTCTGAATAATAATTAAAAGCAATGGTCATATTCCAAACGTCTAATCTTTAAAATAGAATAATCTTTTTACTTTTTAATGATTATTCAGTTTTTAAATATTTATTATTGCAGGTATTTTTCATTTAAAAGTGTTAAATAGATTATCGTATATAGCCTCTGAAAGTATTAATTTAAATATTAGCTTTTCTTGTCAAAGCTAAAATTAGTTACAATTGTATTATATAAGCTGTATGGGGTGTAGCTCAGTGGTAGAGCATATAAGCAGTTGGTATATCTATAGTTATAATTTGTCTCTTAAGATAAAATTAACTATTTCATATGATTGTTTAATAATAATAACACTGAGACAAACTCGAATTACTTAGTATACTAAGTTTATGTAATTTTGAAAATTATACCTAGTTCTCAAATCTTAAGAATTCATGACTACATTTGTTTGAAAATATACCTAGTAAACGTTTAGACTGTGATATTATTTATGATTTTACGACATTATTTGACATTGGCTGTAATCAACATTTACATAAAAAGTGTTTGCCAGTTCACTGTTTTATTATTTATACCAACGTATCTAAGAACAATAAATCATCGGTGTTTCTTTAAAGAAAAACTAAAGTATTGAGATTGCTGAATTTTCAATACGAGGCTTAATAAAATATTATACTAAAGCACGTGTTTTTATTCATACAGTGTCTTTGTCCGATGTGCTATAAATGCTCATTTGAATAATTTTTATCGCCTTCCTACTTAAAACAGACGATCCAAAGTATAAAACTCCAGAACGATCAGGTATTAGGAAGCTACTAGTGATCCGGTTATATGTACCCGAATTATTTAATCATTATGATTATGATGCATTGTGGTCGTTTAGCATCGTCGGAGGTAGTCTTCTGCGCCCATCATAATGCTGCCAAATCGCCATGATACGCACGATTTGAACCCAAGTAATGCTCCACAATCTTCTGTTATTGTCAAACACCCGAGAATAGTTTAAATGGGCCGGAAACGAAATCTATTAATAATAATCAACCCGTTCCCATCATTGTCATGTCGGTTCCCCCAACAACACATGTTCAGAGCTACATAATAGTATTCTTTAGATATCGTCAATCTATATGTATTAATTTCATTTTAAGAAGCAATATCAGTTAACGCAGCGTGATGTAACTACATTGTATAGTAATATTATGACAATTTTAAATGGATCATTAAATGTATTTCACTTTTTGTTAGTAATTCTCTTATACGTCGAAGTAGATGGTTTTATTTGTTCAAGAATGAGTTGCAGGAAAATGGACTAATTAAAAATATATAATTAATCATTATTTTTGATTAGGCAAAAACAATTAGTTAAAACAGTTAATGTGACAATTTACGAATAAATGTTTAAGGCGCTAATAAAATAATTTAGATTGAAATTCTAAGAAAAATTGTATTAACATATATCATTTTTTCCAAATTTTGTCCATCCTATTCTGTACTTCTTTAATACATTTTTAAGCGTATACATATTCATTTAGCTTCGTTATGCTGTTGACCACAGTGTTTTATATATTGCGTAAGTCAGACGGTTTGACGGTACGAGTATCTGATAGAATTTTTAGTGATAATAGCCATTTAATGTGATTTATGAAATATTATTCTTAGAAATCAACATTTTTGAGACGTGATCTTTATAAGTAGTACAAATAAATTGTCAAAGAGTTTTTATACGATATCAACACGAATAATTTTATAAGTATTACAGAAGTTATTAAGTTTGTTTTGAGTAGCACTAACTAAGTAATGTTAAAAATAATTTATAAACAAAAAAATATCGAAATGTGTTTTTAATCAGACAATTTTTTATTTCTGTGCCATTTATAAATTCTATCGTGACATGCATAATATGTTAAACAAACGTATAATTAAAAAAACACATTAGTGTTAACTATTTTTAGTTTTTTTAACACGTGATTTTTTTAGAAAAAAGGTTTAATGACGAATTCACAAGACGCAGTTTATGATCCCTGGCACATTCATCTAAACACAAATAAATTTCCTTATCTTTAGCGTTGTAAAGCTTCTTAAGGATCAACGTTTTTCATAAATGTCAAACTCATTTTATATTATAATATTGTGTTAAGATTCTAAAAACTAGTTTTCTTAGTTGTTTGATATAATATTAAATTGTTTAGACTGTGGCTTTAACGGGTCGCAGAAAAAAAAAATAAAAGACTCATTATACTTATAACAAGCTAACTAATTTAAGTATAAATAGTAGACCTAATAATAAAACTCCCGAACGTCGTAAACTTAAATTGATTATTTTATTTTAATTTTTGTTCCAAATATTTTGTTAGTATCTTTTTAAAACATTTAAATTTATTTTGCTATTAAATACAATAAGATTTTTTCTCACACAACCCACAGCGTTTTCCTTCTTATCGTAATAAAATTGTTGCAAACTGAAGACAGTGTACAGTTACTGTAATTAAGATAATATTTTCTTTAACTTCTTTATTTTGGAATAAAATTGCACTATTTTCGTAGTTATAAATATTATATGCAATTTTTACTGAGACTATTATTCTATTTTTTTTTAAATTTATGTAAAATTAATAATACTATGTTTACATTTATTTAGAATAACTTACACTTTGTATATATATATATTATAGCAAGTGTTTCGTGTTAACATGTTCATGTTAATTCTAAAGTTACCAAGTCACCAAATAAAATATTATTAAAATAATAAGAAGCTACATGACTTATTGTAATGAATACATAGTTTTATAGTATTCAAATTAACACTTTTTGGTTAGTTCATACATACGTATTAGAATAAATAGAAAATAGACCTAGTACTTAAATTAATAAGTCTAAAATTAAACTGTTTATTTATCTATAGATATTATTTTATATATTTGTTCTAATTTTTTTTTTTTAATTAGTGTATGATTTATATTATAAATTTTAATATTTAAAATTTTTAAGATAGCTTAACGGTAATGAGATATTTTTTATCTCATTTAATTATAATTCATTCTCAATAAATGTATTACTTATTTTTCAGTGATTTAAGATTTTGTAAAATAAAAAACATTGATAAGACATCGTTAGCTCATCTCACAGAATTAAGTACTTTGTAAGTAATATTTTATATTTGATTTTTATGTTTATCCAAATATTTTAACAAATATAATTTTAATTATTCATTGATTACTAAAATAAAATCTGCTTAAAAATGATAATGTTTTATTATCGTATTGTTTTTTAGATTGTTAAATAATAATCAAATTGAGAAATTGCAAAATGATGTGTTTAAAAATTTACAAAAACTTCAATTTTTGTAAGTGATATATTTTTTTGTATAATATTAGACTTTTTATAAATTTTTTTGTTTTAGATATTTGTACAAAAATAAAATTGATCATATCGAACCAAGAGCTTTTCTGGGCTTATCAAATTTGGAGCAATTATACTTACATTTCAATAAAATTGAAAACATTTATGTTAATATGTTCAGCGATTTGACGAAATTGGAAAGATTGTAAATTATATCAATCAATTATTCGTAAAATTATTGGCTGTTGATATTTATATAATTGTTTTTAATTTGGCTTAGGTTCTTGCAAAATAATAGAATTAAGAAGATACCTTCAGGAACTTTCGATTCATTAAAATCATTGAAACGTTTGTATGACCAAGTAAACTAGTGTATTACTCAAAATAATCATAAATTATGATTTTTTAGGAGACTAGATAATAATCTATTATCATGTGACTGTGATATGATGTGGTTAGCTAATGTATTGAAAAAGAATCATGATTCAAGTGAAGCAGGGGAATTCGCAGTTACTTGTCAATATCCTACAGAAATGAATGGAAAATCAATTATGGAAATGACAGAATCTGATTTTAATTGTGGTACTTTAAAATTACTAGAATTGATTTTTTTTATTAAAATTCAATAATTTAGTCTAATTGTATCTAATATATAATACTTTATAATGAATTAGTTAAATATTAAAAACTGTTTAATGTTATTGGCATTTTAGGTCAATTAAGATTTAAAGAAGAGCCAAATGATGTATCGGTTTTCGTAGGAGGTTCAGCATTCTTTCCATGTAAAGTAGAGGGTGACCAAGATGTAGAAGTTGTTTGGATGCATGATCAGTAAGTTCTAATATAAAAACAATATAAATAAGGAACAGATTTATATGCATTTATAAATTTAGTTTGAGCCACTTCGAAGAGTTTCGAATTAGTGCAACTTTTCTGAAAAAATATATAGTAGCGTAGAAATATTTTACGTTTCAGAAAAAAATAACCGCTCTAATACTCCTATACACTTTATTCCCTGTTACATCACATTACTAAGTTTTCAAGCCGATTAATAAAACATTTTACTGCCAGATGATGTGTTTGGAATAACTTAACAATATTTATAAATGCATAAAAATGCATTCCGTAAATATTAATATTAGTTTTTTCTATTATTAACGAAACTGAAACTATAGCAATGAGATCGATATGAAAGATTCTAAATATTCAATGACGGATCATGGACTTATGGTTAAGTCAACTTCAACACAAGATGTTGGTATTTATGAGTGTATGATAAAGAAACATAGTATTGAATTAAAATCAAAACCAGCAAAAATGGTTTTGGAATCCAGTGTATCTGATTGTGAGTTCTACTATTATAAAACACAAGTTATTATAATATACTGAACAATATATATCTAATAAATATATTCTGTTTGAAACTTATTAGCTTCACCTATAATACTACAGAGTCCTAAAGCAAAGACATTACTGGAGGGTGAAAAGTTGACTCTTTTTTGTCACGTCATCGGAACACCCGAGCCTCAAGTTACTTGGCAAAAAGATGACATTGAATTGCTTATTAATTCAAGAGTTCAGGTGACTAAAATAACAATTATTTGATAACCTGGAGAAATAATATTGTTATTATTAACATTTTTTTAAGGTTCTCGAAGATAATAGTTTAGTTATTAAGGAATTAGAAAAAACAGACGTAGGTCTTTATAAATGTGTAGCATCTAATTATCTTGGACAGGTTTCATCTGAAGCAATGGTCAATATAAATGGTAATTATTGAAATTGTTCATGATTTCATAATAATTTAAATTTAAATTTGTATTTTAATGTAGTCCCGCCGGTTATCATAAGTACTACTCATGATTTAACGGTTAAAACTGGAACTACGGTAGAACTTCAATGTATAACTGACGGTCATCCAACCCCTGTGATAACATGGTTTAAAGACGGCAAGTCAATAACGCCAGGCCCAAGAATATCATTCCACAATGATAGTAATACAATATAGAGAATATATATTAATAGAGCACTTTAAATAAAAAAATTATTAGTGACAAACAAACAAAAAACGAGATATTAAATTTTTAGGAGCTACAGTACGTCTAGATTATGTAAAAGAGAGTGATAAAGGTATGTTTACTTGTGTGGCTCAAAACTTAGCAGGAACAGCAGAAAGTAACACGGAGTTAAAAGTCAGAGGATTTGGTCCTAGAAAACCTAAATTAGTCATCAAACCATTTGATATGGAAGCTCCACAGCGAACTAGCATTGAAGTTCCTTGCAAGGCAGATGGAGAACCAATTCCTATTATTACTTGGACAAAAGATGGAGTTGATTTAATAAAAGACCAAAATCATAAGTAAATTTAAATTAATACTATTTTATTAGTCTTTAAATAATAAATATGAACTTTAAATATAAATTTATAGAATTAATATCATTGGAAGTTTACGTTTATATAATTTATCGTTTACTGATTCGGGTGTTTATGAGTGTACGGCAAAAAACAACCATGGACAAGATTCAGCCAGGGGCATTATTGAAGTCTTAGGTAGATATGATAATAATCTAGCTTTGTAAGTTGACAAAACATATACGTTTTTATTTGTTTTTTACTGACTTGGTGTGATGTATTGTTATGTAACGATTCATGATATTCTTGGCTTAAATCCAAACGACAGTCATAATGTTTAATTTCTTGTTCTAGGTGATGTTTTAGAACATTCTCCGGGTGATCGATATGTGAACCTGGCCTTTAAGGAGGCTACTTTAGAAGTAGACCGAGCTGTTAATGCTACCATAGAATCATTATTTGGAAAAAACGAAAAAGTTCACAATCCTGCCATTTTAATGAGATTATCTAGGTATCCCGATGTAGTAGCTAGAGACATTGTAAAGTCAGCTGATATATTTGAACGTACACTAGCTAATGTTCGTAAGCACGTACAGGCTGGTCTTAAAATTAATTTAACTGAAAGTAAGTAGTATTTAAAAATTATTTAGATAAATTAATTTAGTACTGTCTTGTTTATAGACTTTTCGTATAGAGATCTTTTGTCTATTGAACAACTTGACTTGATTGCCAATTTATCTGGATGTTTAAGACACCAAAATAAACCCAATTGCAGTGATATGTGTTTTCATACTAAGTATCGTACTATTGATGGAACGTGTAATAATTTACAAAACCCAATGTGGGGTGCTTCTTTAACTCCGTTTAGAAGAATTATGAAACCTATATATGAAAATGGATTCAATACTCCTATTGGTAATTATTATTAAAATTTATTCGTATTAATATAATATCATTTTAATTATTATTATGATAATACTGATATTAAATTTATGATACTAGGTATCTATTTGTACACTGTTACTTTTGCTGTAAAATAAATTTTTTATAAAAAATGAGTAATTATTAATTAATAGAGAGCCGTGTGAATACCGTATACTGTTGGTTATAGGTTGGACTAAAGGAATGAAGTATTACGGATATGAAAAACCTGGAGCTAGATTGGTGTCAACTTCTATTATTCGAACCACTGAAATAACCACAGATGATGAAATAACTCATATGGTAATGCAGTGGGGTCAGTTTTTAGATCACGATCTAGATCATGCCATACCATCAACTACCAAAGAAAGCTGGGAAGGTCAGAAAATAAAAATATTTAAGATGGGTTTTCCTGAAGTATTTAAATATTTTTACAGGTTTGGATTGTAAAAAAACATGTGCTTATTCTTTTCCCTGTTTTCCAATGGATGTTCCACCTAATGATGATCGAATAAAAAATCGTAAATGTATGGACTTCATTAGAAGTAGTGCTATATGTGGAACTGATACAACATCCGTTTTTTTCGATAAGTTACAACCTAGGGAACAAATAAATCAATTAACTGCTTTTATAGATGGATCACAAGTAAACGAAATTTTTTTTACACGATTTCTTTTTATGAGTTTTAAATAATGTTATTATACATAATTTAAGATTTATGGATTTACTAGTGACCGTTCTTTCATATTAAGAGAAGTTCAAACAGGATTAGGTTTGATGCGAGGTGGTATTTCTTCTGGCTCAGGCAAAGAAATGCTTCCTATAGCTGGCGTTGATGAAATGGATTGTCGAAGAGATTTAACTGAAAGTACGACGGGATGTTATTTAGCAGGTGATATACGAGCTAATGAACAGGTAAGAAAATGTTTGTTATTCACTTAGAGTTGTGTACGATTAACAATTATTTCGATGTATTAGGTAGGACTATTAGCCATGCATACAATTTGGCTTAGAGAACATAATCGGATAGCCAGAGAGTTGCATAGAATTAACCCTCATTGGGAAGGTGACACTATATTTCACGAGGCACGTAAAATTGTCGGCGCTGAATTACAGCACATTACCTATCAACATTGGATGCCATATGTTCTTGGTCCTAAAGGAATGGAAAAATTAGGCAAATATTTAGGTTATGACCCTACTATAAATCCAGCTATTGCAAATGTATTTGCGACCGCAGCACTAAGATTTGGGCATTCCATTATAAATCCAGAATTAGCACGACTTGATGAAAATTTTACAACGATTGCTGAAGTATGTTTAATTTTTAAAAAGTTGTGTACCATTTATATTTTTACGGTATATTTGTGCAGAATTGTATTATTAATGTTTTTTTATAGGTATAACATATTAATGATACTTGAAAAAAGTACTAGTTGTAAATATAAAAAAAAATATTAATTTGTAAAAAGATTATATGCAATAACAAAATGTTTTTAATTTTTTCGAGTAAAATGAAAAATGTATTCTTAAAAAAAAAAAATACTATAATACAATCATAATCACACTTAATTTTTCTTTAGTAGTTATATTAAAAATAAGAAGATGGTAATTTTGATTTAGTAATTTTTCTCGAATATCATTGATATATTATACTATAATACAAATATATTACATTACGTTGTATTACTAACACAGGGAGATTTGTCGCTGGGAAAAGCATTTTTTACTCCATGGAGATTATCTGACGAAGGTGGCACTGATCCATTAATGCGCGGTTTCTTTACTGTACCTGCTAAAAAGAAGACTCCTAGACAAAACCTTAATGATCAACTAATTGATCGTTTATTTACTTCAGCGCATGCTGTGGCATTAGACTTGGCTGCGATGAATGTGCAACGTAGTAGAGATCATGGTATACCAGGCTATAATGAATGGAGAGTTGTTTGTAATATGACTAGAGCTGAAACATTTGATGATCTTCGAAATGAAATAAGTGATCCCGAAGTTAGAAATATATTAAAGCGCCTTTATGGCCACCCTGGTAAATTTTTATTTAGAAACAAACCATATAAATACATAACAATTATTTAAATGCCAAAATATTTGTCTTTTATTAGGAAATATTGACGTTTGGGTTGGAGGAATTTTAGAAGATCAATTACCTTCTAGTAAGATCGGAAAACTATTTCAATGTTTACTTATAGAACAATTCAAAAATCTGCGAGACGGAGACAGGTATAGTTATTTTACTAATAAATTATTATTGTATTTTAAAAATATTTTTAAATTATGTTGGCAGATTTTGGTACGAGAGTCCATCTACTTTTAGCCCTGCTAAATTAACCCAGATTAAACAAGCTTCTCTTGCCAGAGTTCTTTGTGATAACGGTGACAACATAACATTAATATCTAAAGATGTGTTTAAATTACCAGTATTACAGTCACCTAAATTGGTTCCATGCAGCACTATACCTAGTATTGACTTAAGACTTTGGTTTGAGTGTAATGGAGGTAAATATTAAACTCATTACGCACGAAAACAAAATTAATTCGTACGTAATTTACACAATTAATATTTTACTATACTCATAGGTATAAGTTAATTAGCAATAAATAATTCAGTTATTAACTAATTCAACTCTCCTGTTTTTTACTTACAGATTGTTCTGGCGAAAATATGTCTGAAGAGGTAGGTCATATGAAAAAAGGAAACACACTGGATAAAGTCATGAACTTAACGGACACGAAATTGGAAGGTTTGAAATTAGAGGTGAATGAGTTAAAGATGGATATCAAAAAGTTGAAACGTAAACTTAGACACTTGACAGAAATTGATGGGGGTTGTTATGACACAAAAGCAAAAAAGAGACGTAAGGAAGGAAGATCATGGGAAGCCGAAGAATGCACAAAATGCGAATGCAAAGTAAGAATTTTTTGTTATGTCTTTTATAAAATATTCATTTTTTTTTTTTTTTAATAATTTTTCCATTTTTCAGAATTCACAAATTTTATGTAATAATTTTTGTTAAACTGAAAATAATGAATAAATGATCAATAACATAAAAAAGTGATTGACTGTGTACTTTTTATTTATTTATTGAAATATAAAAATACAATATATTTTGTAAATGATGGATTTAATATTATTTATGTACTTTTATATCATTGTTAAAAAATGATGTTTTGTCTTTTGATATTTTATATTTAATTTAATTTATCGTAAAAAATTATTCATTTTTTGAATGTGTTCAATATTTACAATTAAAAAGAAAAATTAATTTTAAAATAATAATATAATTGCAATAAATATATAATTTTATGTTAAGGTTACAATTGAATTTGTATGCATTTAATACAGGTTAAATAATTAAATAGTTTTAAAAAATTGAGAATTATGGAAGTTAGAACATCATAATTATTGTCTATTTATGTAAATACTTTATACGATAAATTAGGCATTATCTAAAAGTTATTTTCTGTCGTCAACTGTAAAGTAAGAAATTTTTTAGCGTACCATTTGGGAATATATTGCATTAATGACATTAATATTAAATATAATATCCCCACGTGTCTATCAAAATAATGTTAACTCATCGTTGTAATATATTTCTAAATAATAATAAACCTGAGAATATTCTATCTACTAACAGACAACATGAATGACGGCCAGATTTTTTTTCTATACTAGTATTTTATAGGTATTCATTAAAAATTAAAAGTAAAGTAAACTGATAAATAGATAAATATCATTCAAACAAATCTATTTAATAATATATTTTGTATGTTAATTTAAAAAAGGTATTACCTTATTTTTAGATAAGATGAAAACGGGTAGTAATGTTTAACGACGAGGATTAAACAATTAGTTTAATTATTTAGTAGCTAATAACAAGTTAAACTTATATTTACAATAAGACAAGGTTTGTTTTATATTATATAAGGTTTATTATACAAAAAATTTATAACAAAATCATCAAACAGGGTAATGAAAATTTTTCAGCGTGTAGAGACCTATTTGAACCCCAACTCAATATTTCCTAAAAATCTGAAATAATGCCCTCAAACAATACTTATTTAACCTAGAGTGGCCATATTTAAAAAACAAAACACAGGAAAATTTTTTGTTAAATTGGTACAAAAATAGATTCACCATCAAAATAAAGAAATATATAGACAATTATGTAAATTTGGGTTGGGTACTTTAATTTAATATGTTTTTTATCTTCGATGCAAAGTTGAGAAGGTATTAATTTTAGCATGATGCGTTTATTTTTTTTTTGTGTCTTTTACGACTTATTCTCAGTTCTCACTGATCGATTTTGATGATAAATACGTTAAAAGATCACAAATCGTATCTAGCCGAAGACATAGTCTCAAAAATTGAAAAAGAATTCTCTCTCTCCCTTGGTAATCTCCCAAACTTAAAAAATTAGTAATTTTTTTATTTAAAACTGCCATAACTTTTTGAAAAATGGATGAATCGAAACAATTTTTTTTTATAGATACTTTAGGTATTTACACGTCATTTGGTATATATTTTTTTGAAAATCTAACCCTTCACATGCCCACTAGGGGGATTCAAAATTATAACTTTTCCATAAAAAATTAACTTCTTTAACATAATATTTGAAAGTGTTTCAGAAATATTGACACTTTTTATATATCTTATATTAAAGCTAATATAATATACTTTAATATGAAAAAAAACATTTATAACTTTATTTTGTCTTCATGGTAAAAATGGCTACTGTACCAAAAACTACTACTTTTATGTTAAAATTTACGTTTTTATATTTTATTTTATTTTAAAATACCATTCACGATGAGTACACTAATTTTCATAAATATTATATAAATCTAATCCACAAAGTATAGAGAGTTAAACTTATTTAAATATTTTAGCTTTTTTTAGGTCGAGAAAAATTAATTTGAAATTTTTAATAGTTTAAATTGCCATTTGTATACATCGAATAAATGCGACATTCAGTGCCGAGTCGATAACAGTTATGTCTGTCACGTTTGAGGTACTAAGTTCGAATTTCATACGTAAATTACCTTTTTTTGAATTTCGTTCTTAATTCTTTTTGAGTTGTAAAAAAGTTTTCAATTCATTTGATTTTTATCTCATTTAGATTCAATAAATTTAATAAATATCAAAGACCCCATCACTGTAGCCTCTCATCATGAAATGAAATTTCTTATTTATATTAAAATAAATTTAATGTGATTTTTTTGGAGCTGTCATTTATTTTCTCAGTCCTCAATTGACCAATTTTTTTGATGAATACGTCAATTGATCACAACTAGTATCTCGTTAAAGATAATATCTTCAAAAATTGAAAATTTTCCCCTAGTTCCTTGTAAATGGTGAAAATCCTCCAAAAAATTACAATTTTTAAAATCAGTAAAACTCCCTCTATTAAATAAAAAATTGCTTAACCAGCTTTCTCCATATAAACGATTAAAATCATTCATTTCTAATATTATTTAAATTTTTATTATCGAATTAGTTTTGATAAGATAATCAACTATACATGATTATTATGATTTCTATTTAAGTGAAAAATGAAAAAAAATATTGAGCTTTTCTGATAAATTTACTGTAAATAGTAATAATAAAATTTCCTGACTACATACAATACCATATTATTAATTCTCATAAAATTTTCTATTTAATGATTTCAATTCCAAATTTGCAAATTATGCTAAGTTCACGATAAAAAATTCAACTTTTTTTTTATTATAAACTTATAATAAATTTTAAATGACCCAAAAAAATTAGGTTAAAATTGATATTTTACAATGATTATTTTTAACATATTAAATATCAAAATCAGTAATAATTTAAAACAATTTTTTTTTTGANATATTTTACAATGATTATTTTTAACATATTAAATATCAAAATCAGTAATAATTTAAAACAATTTTTTTTTGATATATAAATACTCATTTTTAATAATTAGTAATAATATCAAAACTTAGAAGTTATAGAAAAAGTCTAATTTCAGATATTTGAAAACAGTGCGAAAAGTTGATTTAGAAAAGCATATTTTTGGTTATGGTAGAATTCCTTGTAGACCAATGTCTAATTAAATATTCATAAGTAAAAAAAAAAAAATTTAAAGTATTGCATCAAGCCCTTCCATTTTTATACACGTTTGCTATAAAAGTAATAACTACTTTATAATTTTTTATAATTTATAATTATTTATTATAAAAATGATAATATTAAATTACTAAATATCAATTTAATTCTATATTCATTTTAATTTAATGTATTATTTTCAATGGTCAAATTGATTATGTTAAATTTATTGTTGTTTAATTTTCTTATAATTATCTATATCTATATATATATATAGAAAAAACAAAATAAATAAACTTATTCACTATATATATATATATTTTTTTTATTTAAAATTTAGATAATTTTCATGTTTTATTGCTGGAAAATACTTTCAACCTTAAAGGATTTTCATTTAAAATGTTGAACATTTTACTTTTAATTTTGCGATTTTGTACTACTGGAAAATACTTCAATCCATTTTCAATGATTTTTTTTGATAATATTTTCAAATCATTGTTTTCTATACATATGATATCGTCAGTATATTTTTTTATTGGGTCGAAATTCAATTTGTTTTCTGTATATTGCATACATTCTTGTATTCTCTTCTTGAAAAATTGGTCAGATTCGATGCATTTATTTGTTGGATGTGTTTCATGATATGAGTTAAATAGAACAGTTAGACAAGAAATAGGTTTTGTCGAAATGAATAAATCATTAAATACAACTTTAATTGAATACAGTAATTCTTCAAATTCAAGTAAGATATTACTTGTCAATATCAATCTTCTTTGATTCATTTCGAATGCCCATTCGCTAAAGCTTTGTATAATAGTAAGAGCTGTGCTTTCGATAACATTTGTCATGACAACGTAACAGTGCTTGTACAGATGAGATTTTTTACACTTAGAAATAAAATTGGACAACTTGTTCTCTTGAAAGTATAAAGAATTTATTCTTATAGATTTTTTTTTACAATTCCAACTAGTATGTATGGGACAGTTTACGTCTCTATTTTGATTTACTACATAATAATAATTATGATGATCTAATATTATATTTGTAAAACGTTTGTATTTAGTCAAATGTTCGTTTAAACCTTCTGCAGTGATATTTTGTGGATCGAATGCATTCATAAAATCGATTGCAAAACTAAAAATATAAAATAAATTTATGTGAAAAAAAAACATATTACCGATATCTTCCGCAGGATCAGTAGTATATCGCTGAGATCTCTGATTGTAATGAAAAATCATTATTTTTAGTGTCTTTTATACAACGTTTATAAAAGTTGGTTTGTCTAAAAATAATCTAAGTTTATGTTAACATTTGAACATTTATTTTAAACTGTTATGATAAAATAGCTTTTTAAAAATTTAATATTTTGTGCATATAACAATGCACATAGAAAACTGCCGTATTACTAATTCCGCCACATTATAATTTTATTTGATATATGATTATTATAAAGTTCTAGATCTTGTTTTAGAAATATTTTTAACACAAATATTAAAAATTGATATTAGCATAATATATTTAGAATATAATACTTAAACACATTCAAAATTCTTCAAATCTACACTTTATTATAATTTAATGTATTATTTTTAATGGTCAAACTGATTTTGTTGAATTTATTGTAGTTTAATTTTCTTATAATTATCATTACAGTTACTTATTGTCTTAAATATATAAAACTTTTTATTTAATACAGAAATATTAAAATTTATACACACTATTTTATTTTTTTATAAGAAACATAATGTTTCTATATATATAGAAAAAACAAAATAAATAAACTTGTTCATTATATTAAATTTAATTCTAACAAAGTATAACAAGAACTGTCTGTCAAATAATTCAAAATGTGTACAAATAATCGTCTCAACAACAATTTTAAAATTAGTCGAGAAATAAAAATATAAATTATAATTTAAATAAGATTAAAAACAAACTTGTATAATAACTATAACAATTATTTATTATATATGAATATAAATCCTTATATATTTTTTTTTGAGGTTTTAATTTAAAATTTTTATGATTTTCATGTTTTATT